CCACCTGAGAATAAAGGTTATTCTGCTGTGGTGAAAGCACACCAGTGTTAATGGCATTTTGATTTGTGTGTAGGTAACTGTACCCAGGTGTCCTTGGAAGGAAGAATGTGATCTCTGGTCTTCAACCAGCTACAAAACACCAACTTGAATGAACCACAGCTAAGCATGGATTTAAACTGAAATGCATTTTTACAATGAAGGCTAAATCTGGTCTTGTTGCTCCTCTTCTGGTACCCTCATGGTCAAGTTGGTGGAAAAATAAGAAAAAATGTCTTATGGTGTACAGCTGTTGTGTAAACTCAGTTTAAAAATGGAGAATGAGCAGGTTTGAGGTGTATTCTGGCAATGGTGAGGCAGAGGAATCTCAAGGAAGGAGGGAAGTAGCTATTCTGTGAGTCCAGGAGGGATAAGAATTGATTCTCACTGTGTTGTGTTTAGGTGCTGTATCACATTAATACTGCTGTAATTCAGAGTCTCTAAATCGTACATGGGAGTGCCCAGCTCAGACATGACCACTTCAAGAAATGGTCCCAATTTAACCAATGCTAATTAAGGCCATGATCTCCTGCAGTAATGAGAATTTCATTAGCAAACAGTTTGCAGCATCAGCCCGTGGTTTTCCAGCAGTGAGAACACTGACAGGTCTCTCCTTTCCATGCCATGGCTTCTGGGAAAGCAACTGTTTGTACAGACTGGGAGTATGCAATTTTCACTCCCTCATGCTGGATTAAAGGCAATGTTTTCTGTGCTTTAATCATTACTCAGTGACAGTTGCTGCAACAGAGAAGGTAACCTCTTTCTGGCTGTTTTTTAGGTTGTGAAATACACTTTCATGCACTGTTTCCTTTTTTCTTTCTTTGCTTTCTAAAGAACTCCTGTTCTGTCAGGTTTGTATTTATTGCTTTCCTGGCAAATGCTATTCTCAGTCAGAAGAATATCATGTCAAAGAAATGAAAGGGGATATCTGTTGGCAGTTTTCCACAGAGGTTTGAATCTCTTCTCTACAATTCCCTCCCTGAGCCAACGTGGGATGCACGCGGTGATGAAGGGACGCAGTGAAAGTCCATCTGAGCATCAGGACGTGGAGGCACAGCTCCTGGCTTCTCCTTCTGCTCCTGTTTGTGCCATCCTGGGACTCAGCCTCCTGCTCCCGGCTCTGGTTTGATGTTACTGCTGCAAAAGTTGTGATTTTTAAGAGTATTTCTCTCTTGTGCTGAGGTCTTCCATGAATTGGTCTTCTCACAGATTTGCTTTATAGGATCAGCCCCATTAAAAATCATTATTTTTAATAAATAATTTTAAATTATTTAGGTAATTAGAATATTTAGATAAGACTGGCATGGGGGAGAATAAATGTGTGGGCTTGGTGTTTTTTTCTGGTTTTACTTGCTGTCTGAAAGTGGGGTGAAACTGAATTACACATTTCAGCTGTTGACAGTGAGGAATATGGGGAGATATCCTGATAGGATTTCCTGAGTACCTGTAACATGGCTTGGCTCTTTCTGAAATTATCCTATTGGAGGCAGGAAATATCAGGTCTATTAGTGAAACAGCTCTCCAGCTATTAGTTTTTAGAGCTTTAAATAGTCTTATCTCAATGGATGTGTTTGCCCTGTGGCTCATCTGTCACCCTAAAATGTTTTATCAGCACCTGAAAAAATCTCAATGAGAAGAATAGCCTCAGATGTTGCCCATTCAAGGGGCTTTTAGATACAGAATGGGGATTTTTTTTTTTTTTTAAATAAAAAAGGTCTTTTAAGATCTGATATTATTTGCTGGCTTTTCAACCCTGTTTCATGGCTCTCGTAGCACCACTTCTATAAATACTCCTCACCAGGAAAAGAAGGAAATCACAATAGATTAAAGGAAAATCAGGTTAACAGGCATCAATCTCTGCCCATTCAGCCTCAGACATTTGTGAAAAATAAAGGATTAGGAAGAATTACTGGCAGGTACTAGCTGAAAAAAACCCCAAAAACCTTTTTGTGGCATCTTTGTCTTCTCTAACAGTTATTAGAGGAACAGCTCTCAGTGTCAGAAGTGAGCTGGATTTGAAATGAGCAGAAGTTGCTGTGAGATGTTGCATTTTCTGTAAATTCTGTACTGTTAATTTGACTCACAGATGATCAGTATCTTTTTCTTTCCCTTTAAAATATGCTGTTTCTAGTTTGAAAACAAGTTTGTGTTGTCTTGAGGTCTGATGGAGAGGAGATTGAGACAAAGGGTTGGACATGGAGGAGTTTTCTTAGTTTGTCTCAGCCTCTTCACGGGACTTTAGAGCTTTCAGAGTAGAAAGATTTGGTCTCAGTCACCATGAGATATTATTTTTGGTGGATGAAAAGCCAGAAGAGGAGAATTAAGTTCAGCAAGGTGAGTTTTTTATGTCTAGGGCCTTCCAGAGACCAGCCTCACACCAGAAAATAACAGTAACAAAAATGGTGATGCAGTGGGGTTTGCTGTAAAAATCTAGAAGTATCCTTTGGTTGAAAATTTTACCATATATTTGCCACCTTACGTTCTTCACAATTAAAATTGGTGGGAAGCTTCCTTTTACCTTGGAATGAGTTTTTCCTCTGAAGGAAATGCGTTCTGAGTTCTGAAATAGGAAATAAAACACTTTTCTCAGAGGAGAAAAATAAACTTTTTGAAAGGTGCACTGATAGTTCTGTAAAGAGCTGCTGGCTCCAGTCTGATCCTTCCTAGGGAAGGCCTTTCAGCTCTGATGTGTTTCAGTTTTTCTTTTAACATGAAACTGCCATTTAAAGAACCATCATGCTTGGTGAAACTCTAGAGGATTTATTTACAGGGAGCAAAGGCTCACAGACTCGGGATATGAATTCTGCAAAGGATGCGTTGCACTTGCAGTCTCCATTTTCATGGTGGGCATTTGATTTTCAAGTGTGATGAAACCTAATTCAGCAACCTAGAGGGTTGGTTTGGGACTTCAGCTCATCAGAAAGCCACAGCTGCTACAGTCACCAGTGGAGAAGGAGCAGCAATGGAAAAGAGAACACAGGCTGTGTTACAAGGCAGCATTCCCCCTGATCCACCCAAGGAAGCAGAAAATGGCCTGTGGTTGCTGTCATAAATTTCATGTGTTAGACCTACCTCTGATTAAATCAAGTTGTAAATTATGTGTAAAACCTGATGGTGCTTTTTAGTTCTCTCTGAAAAGAGCGTAGGAAATGCTGTCTCTTGGGTCCCTGCTCCTGTTGGAGCCTCACTTCTGGTAATTCCCTGCTCCTTCTGCATGTTCACCACTGAGATGTGCCTGGTGAGAGGCAGCAAAACAGAGACAAGCAGCAGAGAGAAGCTTGAAAATTCCACATGCTGGGATCACTGTCATGGTTTGAGGTTTTATCTAGAAGGTGCTCTGTGTTTATAATCTTGGTTTATCTTTTACTGCTGTTGAAATGTTGGATGTGTGCTGTATTTCCTGGCCAGCAAAGGTCCTGTGGATGGAGAGGCCTTTCTGTAAGTGGGGCTTTTTTTGTGGGATATTTTTGTTTCGTTTTGTTTTTGTCATGGACAAATGATTAACAACTGAATCAATCGTGCCAGAGGTTGAGCAAGCTGTATCACACAGGCACATCTTGGGTTCAAGCTGGGGCAAAGTCATTTGGAAGAAAAAAAATCGGGCACAAAAGGCAAACAGAAAGCTTTGCACAGCCTGAATCATCTCCCCTAGCAGTTTGTCCTCCACGTCTAGAGGGCACTTTATCACTGTGCTCAGTAACTCTGGGTGAAAAAAGGACTGCCTGAAATACAATCTTTTATTTGGAGCAGATTCCTACAAGGATTCGGCTAATGTGCCTCTCTGTGTTAAACTGTTATCAGCAGGCTGCCAAAACAGAAAGATGTCTCAGCCAGTTGCTTATTTTGCAGGGACATGGCTCCACAAGCAAAATAATGTCATTTGGAAGGTAACTGTGACACCTTAAGGTGTAGCACTCAGCCAGGTAATGGCACTGAGGTTGTTGGGTTTGTTTGGTATTATTGAACATGAACAATTTTATGTATAGCCCCATCATTGCCATAATGAGCAAATTAAAATGTATTTGCTCTTTGTATCACCAAAGTTCTCAGAGGTGACTGTGCTGCTAGAAGCACAGAGTTGCACAGAGTCAGGCTCTTGTCTTCTCAAAGGCATTATCCAGCAAGGGGAAGGGTGGGAAAACAGTGATATTCCTCATTTTGTGCAGGGAAACACAGATTCAGAGACCTTTGCTCTCTGTAAGATGCTTGCTGTAGGCTAAGACTAACAGGAAAATGAAGGGAAAGGTGCTTGTGTCTCAGGAATCAAAAAGCTGTACCTGGAGGGAGAAGCAGCAGGATGTGAAGGCTCAACAGGCAACCAAAGAAAAACTCTTCCAGGTCCAGTCTGATCTGCCTTTGAAAGCACACCTGAGCTGATGGCAGCAGCCCATGGTAAGTTCTCAGCTCAGTCAGGACCATTTAAGAGACAGAATGACTCAGTGTAGTAGCAGGAAAACACAGAGACATTACATTTGATACCCTGACAGGTCCTGCTTTCATGGGCTAAAGACTTGGGTATTTGGAGCAGAGAATCTCTGTGGAATGACCCAGGGAAGGGCAGTCTCAGGGACAAGGCTTTCCCTGAGGCATGAGAGTAAGTGCTTCTGCCTCATGTCTGACCTTCCTCTGGAAGACAGACATGAAAAGCAGCAATAAATAAATGATTCTGCACTCTATTCCTAGAAAGCTGACTTGAGTTTACTTATCACTTCCTTCTTGCCAAGACTCAAATATGTTTCGTTTGTTGAAATATTCATTTTCCCCGTCCCTTGAAAGGAGCATTACAAATGAAAGTGCAAATTGCTCCTAGGCAGAGCTTTGCTCCCTGCCTGCTCGCCTCGGGAAAGCCGTGTGCCAACAACTGCAGCGTTTACCTTGTGAGCCTGCCAGGTGCTGGGTCATCTGCTGTTTACAGGGTGGCAGAGCAGCTCAGCAGTTTCTCTTTTTTCTGCTTGAACCTTGTTCAAACCCGCAGGGGCAGACAGGGTGGGGGTGTTGGCGGTGTGGGATCTCCGGTGGTACCTCGCCATGAGCGCCCCGCGCCCCATCCACCTGCTGCTGCTGCTCTGTGCGGTGCTCGGCGCCCAGACTGCTCATGGCTTTGGGTGAGTGCGAGTTTCTGAAGCCACATGCAGGGGATGACAGGAGAAACCATCAGGATCAGCACAGGCTTTGGTGTTGCACGGGCCGCAGTCGGTGTCGTGAGCAATTTCTGCGTCTCTAATGAATGGCAAAAGACGTCGTTGGGAAGTCGGCGTAGGGCAGCGTTCCCGCTTCGGAGGGGCAGTCCTGCTGATAAATTGGAGCTGACAAATCGCCACGCTCGTGTTGTAACGTGGAATTGTTTGAACATGCAGCCTCCTTCCCTGCTGGCTGCCCCACACAGTGCTGGGCACACAGGGATTGTTTCCTTCAAGTGCAGAAATGGTGAGAATGTGGCTGAGAGCTGTTCCTTTCTCGGCTGGTGCAATAGATTTTGCTGTTTCAGAGAACTACATCTTGTAATCTCTCCAGTCTAACTATATTTTTGCACTGTTCTCTGAACTTTGAGCTTTGATTTCATGCCTCAGCAAGCTGATGAGGTTTTGTAATTCCTTTATTCCGTTTGATTTTTAATATGCTATAATGGGAACCCCATGCCAGGCACTAAATCACACTTAAAGCTTTGGCTGATGCTGTTCCTTGTCGGGGTGGAAGAATTGGGAACATGGCTGTGGCAGTTTCCTTGTCAGACTGGGTATGAAAAGAAACTGTCAACACTTTACTAAAGCTCCCCACTTGAAGGAGGTACAACAAGGGAGCATTTGTGTGGGACGAGGATTTAATCAGAAATCCTGCATCCACCAAAAGAGGAGGCAGCATTTTAACCGTGGCATTGTGGAAACCTTGGAGACAGCTGTCACGAGGGGAGTGAGATAGTGGCTGGGGTGAAGAGTAAAGGCTCACACTTGGGGTTCAGGTTTGTTACTGGGTTGAAAGGGATTAATGGGTTAATGGCTCGTGAACTGAGAGTAGAATCTGAGAATCTGGCTTTGGCCAGTTTGGGGAAAACCAGGCTGCTGGGCAAAGAGAGACACTTCAGCCTGGTTTTCAGAAATGCTGAGTGCATGCCAGATCTTTTCTTGGGTTGATGTTTGTCACGGAGGTATCTGGCCTTGGAGCCACGGAGCGAGGGCAGCAGCTGGTGGTGAAGGTTTTACTGCTTGCACAGCTTGAGGTGAAGCCCAGATTGGTGGCCATGGGTTTAGTTTCCCATTGTGGCACTTCAGAGAGGATCAGATTTCGCACAGAATCCGTGCCAGTGGAATCAATGCCCTCAGGATGAGGACTGAAATCCAGAGGTTGCGCACAAGGCGTGGTGAGTGTTAGTTCTCCTTGGCATGTGGTTTCACACAAGCATGGGCTGAGGTGCCAGGTCCTCACAGCTCGGTGTCACAGCCTGAAACTCTGGTGTTGTTGGACACAGTGAGCAGGAGTCCCCGAGCCGCAGTGACAGCGAGGCCAGGGACAGGCGCGCCCGCTCCGCGAGTGTCCCGCCACAGCCCCGCGACTGCGTCCTCTCCTCCTGGTCCTCCTGGAGCAAGTGTGACCCCTGCCAGAAGAAAAGGGTGAGTGTCTGTGGCCTGGGGACCTCCGAGAAACCTGGAGCTGGGAGCTCCTTCGAGCCTTGTCCTTTTTGTCTCTGGGGTTGGGCAAACCATGGGGGGCTGCCAAGGGAAGCCCTGTACAGGTGAGACTGTGGGCTTTGCTTTCAGGTGGCTTTTAGCTCTTCAGCTCACCACCCCCAGTAATTCCAGTGTTTTCCAGGGTGCCTCGCTGTCCTGAGAAGGTCTAAGGCCAGGCTTTGCAGGGACTTTGCAACACAGTCCTGTCCTACCAGCGTCAGTGTGAGGCACCTTCCCCACTAATGGTGCCCTGTGGGACCTGGAGACACTCGGTGCCTCTGAGGATTAAGATGCTTTTTCTTGTCTGCTAGCCAGCATTTTCCACCTGAGAAACCCCATCAAATGAAAGTAATGATCCCAACAGCATGAAGAGCAAAATCCCCGTTGCCAGAGAGACCTCTGCTAACAAGTTGGAAAAGCTGTTCCCAGGGTTAAGCAGAAATAACCAATGCTGGGAGTTGGGGGGAGAGTGAAACCTCTTATCAAAGAGTTAATCTCAGAAGCTGGGGAAAAAAGGAGGGCTGACATATTGGATGGAGTAATTGACTGCTTCACAGCAGTGTTGTGGGCGGAAAAAGTCCCTAATGATACAGAGGGGCAAGTAAATACACTGACAGAAAATAACAAGGGATGTCGGTACCAGCACTAATTGAAAGAGAGGAGATGGAACTGAATCCTTCCTTTCTCTTGGAAAGTCCCGCCCTGCACTGTCAGGCTCATTTAAACAAACTAAGAAAAGCAAACTTTCCTTCATCCCTCCCAATCCTCAACCCTTCCTCAGTAAAATTAAAACTGTCGCAGATCAGAAACCTTTGAAACGAGGCAAATTACCAGCATCACACTTCTGTGCTGACACTTTTCTCCTTTAATATGACAGGGTGCGCTTAGATCAGATCTCGGCGACACAAAGTTTGGTTTTCAACCAGAGAAGCGTAAAATTCACCATCTCTGTGCACTTGAGTCAGTATTTTTTATTTCATCACAGTACAGATTTGCCCGCCTGGAGCAGCCCTCGCAGTTCAGTGGAGATGCCTGTGAGTACTCGGACAGAGAAGCTGAGGAGTGCGTCACGAGCAGCCCTTGCAGGAGCAGAGCTCGCTGTGATGGGTTTGTGTGTGCAGTTACAGGTAAGGGTTTGGGCACTGGCGCTGCTCAGGTTAATCAGGTGTCACTTCTGATGCCACTGTGCTGAATTTCTGCTTCTACAGGAGTTTGCTGGGCCAGAGGGATGCCAGGAATTGACCTGGCTCTGTCCATGCTTGTGTTTGTGTCAGTGACTTTGAGTGAGTCCATTAGCCATCTTTAGAATCTCCAAATAGGAAACTACAACCTGGTTGTAGCAGCAAAATCTGTGGCACAAGTGACAGCAACAGGAACTCAGCACCTGAGATGGGGCAAAGGAAAACACTCTGCTTTCCATCTTCCAGTGTTTTGGTGAGACTGAAAACACTCAATAATTGTGGACATGGGAAGAGAGAAAAAAAATAATACCATTTACAAGGCCTGCTGAAAAGGCACGTTTGTTCTCTCAAAATGAAAAAAAAAATTACCAAAAACAGTCTACATTTTTTTTGTACTTTTAATTATTGTGGATTTTTTCCTAAAATGAGCAAGGAATTTTAAGATTATGACGCTTTTGAGTGAAACTGATGGACTTTGGGGATCCATGCAGATAGAGAAGAATTTTTTTTTTCCAGCTAGATTTGAACCATTCATTCCAGAAATTTTCTATTTTGCTCCAAGACTCCATGTCAGGGAGTGTGATCACAGATTGTTTTATGAGTGACTTTCCCCTTCCATCCTAGGGAGATGCATTGCACGGAGGCTGCTCTGCAATGGGGATGACGACTGTGGGGACCAGTCAGACGAGAAAAACTGCAAAAAAGTGTTCAGGAAATGTGACCAGAAGATGGAAGAGTACTGGGGAATAGAGAATCTGGCAAAAGGGTAAGTCTGTGACTTTGGTGAGATGCTCTTTTATTTAAGGCTGAGGATGATCTAGTGTGACTCCAGACAAACACTGAACAGAGGAAAGCTGGAGCAGCTGCTGTATCCAGGAGTGAGCTGGGACCCAGGAACCTGATCCAAAACCTGGGGGACATTGACCTGTTGGAGCAAGACCAGAGGAGGGTCACAAATTGCTCAGGGGGATGGAGCAGCTCTGCTGTGGGGAAAGGCTGAGAGAATTGGGATTGTTCAGCCTGGAGAAGAGGAGGCTCTGGGGGTGATCTGATTGCAGCCTTGCAGTACCTGCAGGAGTCAATGAGAAAGATGGAGAGAGATGATTTACAAGGGCCTAGAGTGACAGGACAAGGGGGAATGTTCCCATTGCCAGAGGACAGGGTTAGATGGGGTATTGGGAATAAATTCAGGCTGGTGAGGCCCTGGCACAGGGTGCCCAGAGAAGCTGTGGCTGCCCCACCCCTGGAAGTGTCCCAGGCCAGGTTGGATGGGTTTTGGACCAACCTGGGACAGTGGGAGGTGTCCCTGCCCATGACAGGGAGTGGGACTAAATGACCTTTAAAGGTCCCTCCTAACCCAGTCATTCCATGATTCCTTGGGTTTGTATCCTTACAGCCTGCATTGTTTTGGTGGGGAGAGAGAACAGTGTTCAAATTCCTTTGATTTCTTCCATGACACTGAGAGGTGGTGGAATTTTTGTGCTTTGTGTGAGTGGGGTAGGGTAAACCTGCATATTAGCAGCTCTGTGGGGATTAAAATCTAAGTCTGAATGGATTCAGCTTTTGCAGGCTAAGATTGTGACAACTTTCTGTAAGATCAGACTGTGTGAAAAGAGGGGTTTTTGGTTTTTTTCTAATTCTGCAGGGAAAAAAATGCTTTTTACATTAAAAAAAAAGAAAAAGGAAAATCATATTGCAAGGAAAAATATAATTTTCTCATTATTCTCTGGAGATATGGCTGCTGCACATGTCATTGCTAATGCTTTGTACTTTGGAGTTTAATCAAAATTAAAAATAATGTTGGACAATTATAGGAACATGCTTCTCATCTCTTTGAAGCTACAATTGCTCAGTAATTTGCTTTTAGTGGACTTCCCTTTTTTTCCAGATTGTTCTAAAATTAGAGTTAATTTTTTTACAGCTTCAGAGTCATTATCATGTAAGCCTCTCTCCCCAAAATCAGGAGGGGCAGATCATCCAACAGAGTCCTGGAGCACTGAGAGCTTTTTTGTGGAGGTTTTTTGATGGAGTTTCATCCCACCAGCAACAATGGGCAAAGCAAGTGATGGGGTTTAATCTCCTCATCTCCACAAACTGCAGTGCTACATCCTTCCTTAGAGCAGAAAGGTTAAGGTTTCTGTCCATCATCCACTGAAATCAAAGGAAAACTCCCTGTGGTCTCAAGGATTATCTGAGCTATTGCTTGAGTACCTCTTTTCTTGTTCCCCAACAATTTTTACTGTTATCTACTGACCTCTGGTTGACCCTTGACCAACCTGGCAAAGATTTTGGCTGATAAACCAGAATGGAGAAGTGTGAATTAAAAATCAGTCTGGATTGATGCCATATGCTGGCAAACCTGTCTTTGAAGGTCCTGATGGATGCTGTGAATATTTTGGGATGCTCAGGGTAGCAGCCTGATGGGGTGGGGGTTCAGCTGGTCCAGTTTGTTCTGCTTTTCCTGGAGAGTTCCACTAAAAGGCCACAAAGCTGCCAGTGCTGGTGCAGTAACAGTGGTGTCATTCACAGCTGGGGGATGAAAATTGCTATTTATATTCATCAAAAGTATCAAAATCCAGCTCTGTCTTTTGCTTTCTCATTAGTCAGGTTCTTCTGCAGCACCTGGGTTGGTTGGACAGTGAAGGAGCCCAACCTTTCTTTTGGGGTTTCAAATTAAAGAAGTGTGAAGCAAAGAGCCTGTGACCAAATAAAACAATATTTTACCTTTCTCAGCCAAGGGATTTAGTGTTTAGCTCTGAATTGATGGTACCATGAAATATTGGTGTTCTGCTTCACCTCCAGGTTGAATATCTTCACAAACAGCTTGGAAGGGTTGGTCCTGGATCACAGGTACTACGCTGGGGGATGTTCTCCCCATTACATCAGGGACACGAGGTTCAGGAAGCCGTACAACATAGAAAGCTACACACCAGAGGTACGTGCCAGATGTGCCTGCAAATAAACTTACACACACATATTCCAGTGGATTTAGTGCCCAAAGCTTCATTGCTGGATCATTTTGTAATTATCCTGTTCTAGAACATCCTCATGGCCCACGCACTCCACGGTGTTGAACACACCACATGCTTTGTGTGAGAACTTGCTCCTGTCATCCATCAAAGCTGTATTTCAAATATTATGTATTTGACCTCAGTGCTTCTGATGACATGATGTTTTTGAGTGCTGCCCACAAGGAAACCTTTTCCTTTTAGAATTTGTATTTTAATTGATGCCTGTGTTTAAGATTTCACCTTCTTTGCATAAGATTGACATATTAAGTGAAAGCCTGAGGACCTTGCAGTATGGAGGAGATAGGAGCTTTCCTGCTGCTGTAAATCAAGTATTCTTGAAGTACCTGTGTTAATAATAATAGTGCTTTGCAATTATACAAGGCTTTTCATCTTCAAAGTGCAAGCATTAATTCACAAGTATATTTGTGTCTGCATTCCTTCCCCACGCTTCAGGTGTACAATCACTGTGCAGGAAATGAGATGTGTTGTTTTTCCTTTCTGTTTAGACCAAAGGCAAATATGAATTTACAATGACTGAATATGACTCCTACTCAAATTATGAAAGCAGTGTCCTGAAGGCAAAAGCTTCGCAGTCAAGCTTCAGCATCGGTATAAAAATACCAAAAGTGTTTGAACTTGGTTACAATTCAAATGACATGAGGTTCAAGAAGTTCATGCAGAGGATGAAAAGATTTTCTTCAAGTGTAAGCACTGCTCCACTTAATTCCCTGCTAATGTGTTCCCTGTAAGTGTGTGGGTGTGTGTTGGTTTGAGGCTCCTCCTCAGGTCAGCAGCCAGGACATCAAATCCAAATCAAATCCTTCCCCCACCTGGATTCTGCCATTTGTCCAAGTCTTGACTACCCCCACAATGCCTTCCTTTGTGTTTGCAGCATCCAGGAGCTTTTCCATTCAGCTCTCAGCCAGGATCTGGGCTGCTTGACCTTTGAAATCAGCCACAAGTTGTTGAGAGGACTCAGTGATCCTTGTGGGTGCCTTCCAGCTGTGGATATTCTCTGATTCTTGGTGTGGTCTGTCCACTGCCCTGCTGGACATCCACCTTTGAATGTTTGTAGTGAAAAATTGAAACCAAGAAGCCTCTTCAGCTTGAATCTATAGCTCCTATGACTGCCATCATTTCTTTTCTTTTTTTTCATCTGTTATTGCCATAAACAAAGGTAGCTCATATCAGTGGTGTAATAGTATCACCAATGTGTGACTCCTTTTGGTATAAAGTGTACTCAGGAATGGCAAAGTACTCCCTGCATTTGCTTTGTGCAAAGTAGAATTTCTCACAACAAGATCAGAGGTTGATGAGAAGCATTTGGACAGAAATCCATAAAGAAACCAAATATTTAAGTCCTGATTTTATTATTTAAGCTGCAGCATTCTATGCTGATCCCTCCCTGATGTGCTTGTCCTGCTGGCCCAGACAACTGAACACTAAATCCTTTGAACATAATGGAATAGATTTTCTGTTCCAGACTTCTGTGCCAGAAAGGGGAGAGAAAAAAAATGATCCATGTTTACATACCTACACAGAGACATATAAATGTGTGTGTGTGTGAGAGAGAGAGGGAGTGTTTGTGTTTACTTCTTTCAGTTTTGATAAAGGCATATTCTGTGAAATACAAATATGAATCTGGCTCAGCCAGAGAATGACCATTTCCCATAAAAATCATAATTTCAGATGTCAGAACTTTTCAGGAGAGAGCTTGTGAGAGATGAAGTTTTATTAGGGGTGAAGGATGCTTAGGTTATTGATCATCAGGTTTATTAGGTCCTGCAGGATGCTGAGGTGTCCTTGCATTCTGGATGTGCCACATCAGAACCTGGACCCTGCCTTTTCCTGTGTCCCAGTCATGGCCTGAGTCTCAGGAACATTGACTACTAAAAGTTTTACTTTTACAAAAGTTAGTTAGGAGATTTCCAGTTACAGGGTTTCCAGTTGGAAACTGTGCAGTCAATAAACCCCGAGCAGCGCTGATTGTTCAACTGCAAACATGGAATTCACGCTGTCATGAGAGTGACATCCCTCACTCCTCCTGGATTCTCCTGATGATGCTCCTGCCTTTCCTGCAGTCCAGCAAGTTCATCCACGCCCGTTCTGAGCTGGCTGTTGGTGTTTACAAGCTGAAGCCCCGAGCCCTGATGCTGCATCACGAGTTCCTGCAGCGGCTCCGGCAGCTCCCCGCGGAATACAGCTACGGGGAATTCCGGGAGCTCTACAGGGATTTTGGGACACACTTCATCAAGGAGGCCACTGTTGGAGGCATCTATGAATACACTTTGGTCATGAACAGCGACGAGCTCCGCAGGGCGGGTGCGTGCATCTGGTGGTTGGGAAGGAGCTTTGGGGCCAGATTTTGGGTGGGAAAACTTCTGTGCAGGCACACAGGGATGGCTCAGGTCTGAGATCAGGAGAGGGAGATGATGGGAGAAGGAGTCAAGAGCATCTCAAAGAAATCCAGCAGGAAATGTGGTTAGAGGTGCTCGTTGGCAGTGAATGAAGAGGTTTTCAAAGCATGCTCAGCATCATGGGCTGGATTTAGTTCACAAAGAAAGGCCCTGTGGCAAGTATTTTAGACAACATGTTTTAGAGGCTGACAAGATGTTGAGATGAATTAGAATTGTGGATCTTAACACTTCTGTTAGCTTTGAAAACCCTCATCCAAGTCCTTTTTCCACTGCCTTTCAAATGGCAGTTTTGAAACACCTTTAGCCTGGAGAGCTTTTCCAGCATGTAGGAAACAGTAAATAATTTACTGGGTGACTCTTGTGCCTGACATTGCTCCTGCTCTTTGGCTCTGGCTCCCTTTGTTGTGAGAAATGATGATTGTTGTGTAGGACAGAGTGAGCAGTGTGACATTAATCAATAGCTGCACTCTTAATTATTTATTCATTGGCAGGGGAGTGAGGAACTGCCTCTGCTGTTTGCAGAGGCATTTACTGGGCTCTGCTTTGTGCAGTACTCTCTATGTTTGTTCTTCTGCTGTGTGGGATGTTCCTTACCCTGAAACAGAGGGAGGGACAGAATTTAGATTCACATTTCAGGTATTCAAATTCTAACAGAGTTTCCCAATTTCTCAGCTGTTGCTGTGGGCCCATCACAATCCACGTTTGTTTGAACTAAGTATTATTATTTGCATCAAAAAGCACAGTGTCTGCTGTCCCAGATCAGGATCCTGCAGCAAAAACAACATTTTCACACAAGTGCTGAACTGGGCTTTAAGTTCTCATTAGGGTTTTGTAGGTCCAGCCTGAGAATTCAGGTTTTTCCCTTCAAATCCCTCATTATCTTTGTACTGTCTGTGCTGGAACTGAAATTTTCTCTTGCAGACCTGGTATCACACACTGTGTGACATGGTTGGTTCTTGCTCTGCTCTCACACAGAATCCAATCTGCCACATCTTAGAATCATGGAATCCTTTAGGTTGGAAAAGCTCTCTAAGATCATGGATTCTGAGTGTTAACCCAGCACTGCCAAGGCCACCACTAAACCATGTCCCCACGTGCCACATCCACATGTCCTGTGAATCCCTCTGGGGTTGGTGACTCCACCCTTGCCCTGGGAAACTTCTTCCAGGGCTTGAAAACCCTTTTGGTGAAGAAATGTTTCCTGATACCCAATCTACATTTCCATGAAGCACTTAGGACTCTTCTGGCAGCAGAGAATTGGAGATGTGAGCTGGTGAAAAGAGGAAAAGCTATTCCATCTATTCCTCTTAAAAAACCTGGATCCTGGGCATGGGAAGAGGTGATGGGTAGTCTGTGGTTGGACATGCACTGTTTTCCTACCCACTGCAGCTGTGCTTAACCCAGTGCAGCTTGGTGGGTGACTAAAATCCTCCTCTTCCAGCTTTTACCTTGCATTTCCACTTTGCTTCAGAGCGTTCTGTAAAACATAGAGATTTCATTTCATTTCATACAGTTCTGTTAAGTATTAAAAAAACCCAAGAAATAATCTTCTTCAGCATATCTTTTTTTTTCTTTTCCTAAAGCAAAAATACTCATCAACTCTCATTTTCTGTGTATGTGGACATAGAACACGAAACAGTTGTATTAAATCCTTACAGTTTTTTGTGTATTTAAGGTTATTCTCTGAGTGATGTCCAGAAATGTGCACAGAAGGGCTTTAACATTGCTGTGGATCTTCGTAAAATCTCTGTGGGACTTGGAGTAGATTCAGCTGGCTGTAAAGCCCTTTTGAAAGAGATTGGAGGTAAGCATGAAATACTTCTGCCATTTCATTTCTTTCTCATAGTGAAAGGAAGGTTTTGTGATCTTGCCTGCCTGAAATATTTCCCCACTCCCTCACAGCCACTTTTGAGTCTGCTGGCTAACCCCAGCCAGGCTTAACACAGGGGAAATGTCTCAGAGCTCGGGGTTTTTCCAAGATTTTCTGTGTAGAGAGTAAATATCTGCTCAGCAGCCCAAGGAGAAGCAGGGACAGATCACCCACTACCCACCTGGCCTGTGTTAAATATCAACCCCCACCTCTCAGCAGGGCAACCCAGCACACCTCTTTTCACATCCTGATGGGGAAAGCAGGAAGGTGATGGTGCTGTGGGAGCCCCTGGGGATGTGGGGAGCTGGGGGTGTGCACCTGGAAATACATGGAGGAGAACAGGGAATATTCCTGGTGGCGAGGAGCATCGGGCTGGGGAAGGACCTGTGAGCCTAAAACCATGGGGAAGGAATTTAGGGGAGGGGTGCAGGGGGCAGGCTGGGGAATTCCTGCAAGGGAGCAGGAGGGGGACACAGGACACACTTTGCAGGAAACCAGGTGAGCAGCACTTGTGGCCTTTTTCCTTTGCCCTCTGGGTGGGACGGGTGTGTGTGGGAGCGATTTTGCTGTTAGCTGGTAACTGCAGCCCACAAAGGCACAACCTGGGCAGAGCTGGGCACTTCCCTGAGTGCATTTTTGCAGACAGCACTGCCAGGAAACAGTTTGTGGAGGATTTCGTGGCGCTGGTCCGCGGCGGAGCGAGTGAAGACATCACCACGCTGGCCCACAGGGACCTGCCCACGGCCCAGCTCATGCAGCAGTGGGGAGATGCTGTGCAGTACAACCCTGAGATCATAAAGCTGAAGGTACTGCACTCTCCACTTCCTCCAGCCCCAGCTGAACACCTTGGAGAGCTCTGTGTTTAAATAAATAGGATTTAGAGAGAAAAAAACAAAACAGGAAAAACAGACCTTATAGTGCAGCGTGGCTTCTCTAAGTGAATATTCAGAAATGCAAAGGTGCAATTCTTTAAAGGGACTGTGGCTGGAAATACATAAAGTAAACAGCTTTAACCCTTTAACTTGGATGTGCAGATGTCATTTCTTGCCAAAAATTGTATCTGGCAGCATGTATTTTATAAGGATTTCTATTTTCCTTGATGTTTATCAACTTCTTTGAGCAGCAGTGGCCATTCTTTCTGGTTCAGCAGGTCAGGTGGTTCATTGTGCATGCCTGGATGTTTGTGCAGCTTAGCTGAACCTTAAAAACAGGAGCTAGGCTTTGAAGGCTCAAGGATTTTTGATCCTGGAGAGTTTTAGAAATGCAAAAAAGCCAGCAGAAGTGTGTAGCAGTTCTGCCTCATCATCTTTAATGTCAAAATGAGTGAACAGTACCAAGGTGCAAGAGAATATCCTGTTAAATGGGAGTTTGGACTGGTAGAGGTAGAAGTTGATTTATAGTTGCTTTTCATTGTAGAATTTAATTTTTGGCAAAAATCTTTACATTTGTACAAGGGGGGTGTTTCTCGAGAAAAAGGTGAATTCTAAAAAGGTGAAGCAAGCAAAAATCAGTAAGTTGGAAACACAGCCAGTGCCCATCTGGCACTTGCTGCAGCCCCTGGTGTGCTGTGGATTGACCTTCCAGAAATGCACTGGGAGGTCTCAGGGCAGGAGACAAGAGAAATGCAGCCCTCAGCACCAAATCCCACACACAGAAAAGCCTCCCATGAGGAACTGAGGTGTTCTTTGTCTTGCCTGGCATCACTGACCAGACTGCCCAGTGAAAAACCTCAGGCGGATGTAATTTGGATTTGGTATCTTCATTTCCATACCAATATCCCTGTGGGGCTTGAAGATCAAAAGTACCAGCGGAGTGTGACTAAATGTCAGCCCAAGAATGCTTAGTTAGGGAAAACTAAAGCAAATCAGTTCATAAATCATCTGCTGGAGGGACTTGGCAGGTCACTCTTAGTGTATTTCCTCATTTGTATGATCTGAATTCAAAAAGCAAAGTATGGATCACAGATAATTGATGAAGAGTGGATGTACAGCAGCAGGAAATGAGGAACTTTTTTTTTTTTTTTTATTGGAACATTCTTTAATTCTTGTAGTTTGAGCCTGTGATGGCAGGAGGGTGATTTTTTTTGTGTTTCCTGTGCGTGGCCTGCACGGCAGCGCCTCTGCAGTGAGGATGGGAGTTGGGGATGGATGCTCTGGTGGCACATGGAACTATCATCCCCCTGGCAGGAGTGGGTGATGGCACTGTTAACACCACACTTTGAATTTCCCTTGTTCTCAGGAGAAAATAAATGAGTGAGCCAGGGTCTCCTTGGTCCCTTGTCTTCTCCCCCTGACCCCATCTGCAGATGGAGATCAAATCCTCTCCTTTCTGGAAGGCAATGAAACCCTTACCTGGGTTCCACAAGGATAAAAACCAGCCCTGAAATGCAGGAGTGGTGAAGGTGGAAGTGCTGATGCCTCTGGTGCCTCTGGCTGTGCTGGGGGGCTGTAGGAGGAGATTTTTGTGGATGGTTTTTAGGGGAAATTTTTTAAATCAGAGTAAGAGATCACTCAGAAAATGTAAGTTTGAGCAAATCTGATCTGTAAACATCTGTACCAGAAAAATGGATGAGAAAGGATTTAATGAAACTCCTGTGCAACTTAGCCTGTTTCTTATCCAACAAAGTGGCTGCTGCATTTTGTTACACATTTCCAACTGCTCTGGTGTGGGAAGCCAAGGGGAGCATCCCTGGGAGCGTTCCTGACATCGTGGCCTTGCTGTTCATAAGGTTTTAGCCAATAGCAATGGAAAACCTGGAGATTTCCACACAGCCTCCATTTCCCCTCCAGCTGTGCCACCGCCCAGCCTTGTGATGTTCATGGCATTCTGAGCTCAGGAATTAATGGAGTTTCTCCCCTCCCTTTAGGCAGAGCCACTGTATGAGCTGGTGGCTCCCTCTGACTTGGCTGATTCCAGCAGAATAAAGGAGAATCTGCGCCGGGCTCTGGAGGAGTTCCAGCTGGAGAGCAGTTCCTGTCGCTGTGCTCCGTGCCACGGGAATGGCATCCCCTTCCTGACAGGTACAGGGCTCCTCTGCTCTGAAATTAGCTGGGAATTCGTGGGGAGCACATGGCAAGCAAGCTGCTCTTCAGTTTTTCCTGACATTTCTTTATCAGGGAATTACTTTGTGTTTTTAAAGTTGCTCTGTTTGGAGAGTCCTGGTAAGTAAAGACAGTAAAGTCAAGGGATGTGTCTTTGTCATGGGAGTGACCACTATCTGTATCAGTTTCACAGGAGAATTTGTTACTTCTCAGTTATTCATTTATAAAAAAAATAATCCTTAACATCTTTAAGTCTCCTTCTTTTGCTTTTAAGATTGCTTCCATCCTCCTGGAGAAGTGACTACTGTCTCAGCATTAATTAGTGTTTGTAAAAGGGTTTTGAAGATGGAAAGCACCATATAAGTGCCAAGCACAGCGATCACCACCACCTCCCCCTGTTTCTGATAGAAGCTGTCCTCCTCTGTAAGCAGGCTGTGATTTAAAAAATGAAGGGGAAAAATAATCAAATTAAATGAAAACCGCTTTGCCTAAACAAGAGATATATGATGTGATGAGAGCTTCTAACAAAGGGACCATTTTGTCAAGTGCCTAATTCCAATCTGCATCTGCAGAAGTCCTGATGAGAATTGTTATCATCAGATTGTATCTAATGCAGAAACGATCACTTCAGGTACCAGCCAGCTGATTGTAGCAATTCAAGCATTTGTCTTATGGTGACCTTTGTTTAAATAACTTTACAGGAGCTGAGTTCAGGTTAGTATTTCATTTAGGATCTTCTCAGCAAAAGTTTTAAATGGCCATGGATTTTCTTAAATGGGAACTCTTCTCCAGGTTCCTGACACGGGATGCACATCCCTGGGTTGACAGAGCAGGGATACTGGGCTTTTCCTCAGCCACAAAACCTAGTTGGGATATTCCTGTCCTGGTTGCTCTTTCTTGATGCTGCAGTTTGTTCTTTATCAGCTTTACCAAGGGCACTCTCCAGAGACCCCACCTGCAGTGCTGCGCCGAGGTATGAAACCCCAAATACTGAAAGGACATGGAGCTGCTGGAGTGAGTCCCGAGGAGGCCACAGGGAAGGCAGGGACAGATGAGATGCTGGGAAGGAATTCCTGGCTGTGAGGGTGATGGGACCCTGGCACAGGGTGCCCAGAGAAGCTGTGGCTGCCCCAGGATCCCTGGAAGTGTCCAAGGCCAGGCTGGACAGGGTTTGGAGCAGTCTGGGAGAGTGGAAGGTGTCCCTGCCCATGGCAGGGATGAGATGAGCTTTAAGGTCCCTCCCAACCCAAACCATCCCAGGATTCTGTGATCTCTTTTGGAGAAGAGCAGGAGGAGTCTGTGGTCCCCTGGCTTGTGGAATTGCACCAGTGGGTCTGAGGTGGAGCTGCAGGGCAGGAACAAATGTCTGGAGAGGTGAGAGGGAGTGCAGGACAGTCCCAGCTCCCCTCTTCATTGGTACTGATCCCTTCAGCACTGGAGAAAAGCGATGCCATTTCACCCACTGTCCCTTCCTCCCAGAAGATGAAGTGCTGGAGAGAAGTGGATGCCTGCTGGGCAGTGTGGCTCCAGGACTGTAATTCCCACCCCCTGTGCTTGCTTTCAGGAGCAGAGTGTGAGTGCCTGTGTCCCCTCGGCTACAGCGGCACCGCCTGCGAGATCAGCAGGAGGAAAGGTGAGAGTCCCCAGCTCCCAGGGACAATCCCAGCGGTGTTAGGAGTGTCCAGGGATGGGGAGTGATGCCAGCCCTGGCTGTCCCCAGGCTGCCCAGCTCAATGCACCCAGCTGAGCCCCTGCAAAGGGGACAGATGTGTTTTCCCTGTCCCTCGTCTGAATTTCTGTGCCCTCTTGAGGAGGTGGGTTTCTTTTTGCGTGTACATGCCCTGCAGTTGTATCCAAATAGGAATTCCTGCCTAGTTCACAATCCCTGGAAAGCCTCAGGTCTCCTCCTTAGGAAACAGCTCTGTTTCCTAAGTTTTTCCCTTTGATAAAGCCAGCATATTGCAAAGTGTTCCCCCCCAGATATGCTACCATGCATTCTAATCATAAAATCTTATTATGTTGCTTCAAAATATTTATTAATGCTTCTTGGTCAACTTTATGTCTCTGCTGTCTCCTGACTGATGTTCTTAACTCCTTCTAGTTTAGGATCATCTGTGAATTTAATCATTTTGTTTACTTCTTCCAGCTCATTAATTTAGATGCTAAATACTACCAGATCCCAGGCACCCAGAGCTCTGGCACCAACCCACAATTTGATGCACTGCATTTATCACTGGCTTTGTTTACAGCCTTACCCAGTATTCATTCTGCATGGCTGTGTCCAAACTGAGCCAGGCTGAAACGCACTTTAAGCCAAGATTTCACTGAACAGGGGGTCAGCTTTTGGGTATTTCTAAGGCAGTCCATGGAGCCTTGAATGGTGGAGTCACTGACACCTTACTTCAGTCTGTTTTTCACACTCATGGTCACATCCAACCCTCTCAAAGCTCACATCCATCCATTTGTCAACACTGTAACTTCATTTCTCACTCCCATTTCCTCCTTTTATGTGTTGCCTCTGTGATTCTCAGGATTTTGAATTTATGTCACTCACATGCTCAGGGTCCAGAAGAATCAGTGTAATAGGAAAAGCAATGGAGGGAAAGCTGAATAGTCAAGCTGTTGTTCACTGAAGTGCTAACACTGCCCCTACCACCTCAAAATATGGCCAAGACAAGTTTAGTTGGTCTGTTTCATATCTAGGCCTGAACTTGGACAAAGAGAGAAACATCCTTCAAGCAAAGATAAAGCTAATTGCCTTTTTTTTCTCCCCTTTCATATCTTCCTGAAGTGTAGTTTGAACAAACACCAGAAATGCTGAACAGAGAATTAACATCTCTGAAACAACCCCTCACTGTTAACAACTCGAGTATATTGTTAGTGATGGGGACAGGGTTAGCAGGGCTGTTCATATTCAAATGCAATTCATGGGAGCTGACAGCTCTTCCATGGAAAGAGCTGCTTGTTTCTGACTGTCTTTTCCAGCTTTATGGTTGTTTCTTTTCCAGATGCTGCTGTTAATGGAAGCTGGGGGTGCTGGGCCAGCTGGTCCCCGTGTTCAGGAGGTCAGAGAACAAGAAGGCGACAGTGCAACAACCCTGCCCCACAGAACGGCGGCTCCTCGTGCTCAGGGCCAGACTCTGAGGCAGTTCCTTGCTAGAAGGAACCAGCAGGAGCTCACACAGAACTGGAGGGCACTTGGCAGACTGCTTGGGAGGACATCACCTCACTGCTTTCTGAGCTGGCCTCGCTCTGCCCATGGGTCTCCTCCAAATCAGGAACATTTCAGAAGACACTGGGAGCTGGGGGGTGTTGGGAACCACACCCTTGGATGTTCAGTTGTCCAGTGGGATTGAATGTGCTTACCAACCTCAGTATTTTGCCTTTTCCCTGTCTTCATTGCAATGGGCTAAATGAGACAAGCTTTATCTCTGTCTGTATTTGGTAGCTGCATGATTTCAAATTACACTGTCTTGTTGCTGAAGGTTCCTTTGAGATAAGAAGAGACACTTTGATCTTACGTGCAGCAGGATGTGCACTGATGCACAGCTTCTGTGAAGGCAGCTGTGTCATGTGGAGCAAAATCCAGCACATTAAAGCCTAAATCTCAATGAGCACCACAGTATCTAACGTGACATTTAGAGCCACTGTGCCTCACTACACTGCTTGCCCAATTTATTGTATTGTTCCCACCCCTGCCATGGGCAGGGACTCCTTCCACTATCCCAGGTTGCTCCCAGCCCTGTCCAACCTGGCCTTGGACACTGCCAGGGATGGGGCAGCCACAGCTTCTCTGGGACAAATGGAACCTTTGGAAAAAGCTGTCTGCACATCCCCTGAGATCTTCTGCCCCGAGTAGCTGCATTTGCCCCAGACAAGCTCTGGTTAAAAAGTCTGATCCCATGAAATCCAGTGTTCCAGCTGCTGCTGGGTCCATGCAGGGTGGGACATCTGACTTGGAGAGAGTTCACTGTGAAAAAAGACAAACTGGTTTGCCTGTTATTACCATCCCTGGAGCTGTGCATCACAGTCCAGGTCTAACAGAGGAACTTTAAAACACTGTGCACCATTCCATGAGCCTGGATCCTTCCAGGGACTTGCCTCCTACAGCTTTGGTGGTGGTAAATGATTTTTGCCAAGACATTTAGTTGGACCTGCTGCAAAACAACCAGCAATAGCTATGCTCCAAAAGGCAATTCCACCAGTGCAAAGTTGTTCATGAGTGTTGTGAGTCTTCTAACATCCACAAGGTCAAACTCTTCTTCTGAGGGTTTTTTAGCAGAGCTGGTGATGGTGGGCTGGTATCGCCCGTTCCTTTCCTTTCAGACTGACGTTGTCTGAATGTAATTCCTGTGAGAGCAGCTCAGGCTCCCTGACATCTGAACAATGGAACATGCATTTAGTTGTAGCCCTCATGCCGCCTCCACACTTATCGACAGGGCTTCTGTGACAGCTTTAAGAAAGGCAGAGCACATTGCATATGTAAAACAAGAGGGCTCTGTGCTCATTATGGGCTTCATCATTTAGCTGCCAACCCAAAACATTTCCCTTTTCCACTGTGTAGCTGCAATATCTTTTGTGTGATGGAAATTTGCCAAGAGATTCTTTTTTGGGTCATGGTCAAAGAGGTCACTGCTTGTTTGACGTAGGATATTCCTCCAGGTTTTATGCAGGGGCTCTGTAGAAACCTCTGTGGAGGTGAGGACCCTGAGCATGGTTCACCTCTGAGGACACAAACTGCAGTGTCATTGCCTGCCCTTGTTGAGAATCATCGTGTCATCTGATTAAGGACATTTCTCAGATGAGTCAAGTGGCTTTTGTAAATTTAACCACCTTTCCTGATCATCAAGCTGGTTAAATACACGGCAGTGGTGCCTCTCTCCACTGCTGCAGCGAGGACAGCCAAGTGTAGCGACTTGACTTGGGACCATTGTTCCCAAACCAGAAAAACACAGATTTTTTTGAAGTGGTGACAGTACCTGAGTTTGTATATTTGGGGATTTTAATTTTTGGAGGAAGAGAGGAGAGATTTGTCAGTCATCAAGATCATCAGGACAGTCTGACTGAAGTATGAGTTCAGCAGTGGCTGAATATTCAGCCTGTAGGCTTAGAATCCTCCCATAAAGGACATAACTTTACCTTGTCCTTGTGATTTTGTGCTTTGATTCGCCTAACTAATGATTTATTATAACCTGGAGGGTGATAAAAAACACTGTGCTGAATCTTTTATTGTTTCATTTTGGTTGGCATTAAATTTTGGTACCATCTTTTACTGGTGTTCCTAACTCTCACTCCCCGTGTAAGTTCAGATTAATAACCCACGCGCGAGGGCTCGGGAGGGCTGCGGGCAGCTGTGCACGTGTTCAGCCCTGCTCCTGCTGCTCTGACCCATCCCTCTGGCTAACATACTCACCTCCTACATCCCATGTTGTATTTTCACAAGCTGTCTTGAGGAAAAGAAGAGGATAAACACGGAGAGGCTGCATTTCGTTGCACCTCCCTGCTTGAAGACATTGCTGCTGGGGTATCGCCCTTCGGGAACTCCCAGAAGGGTATTTCAGGTCCCTCCCCTTATGAGCTGTAATTGCTTCATCCAGCTTTCCCAGGACAAAAACAGCTGGAATCTTGCCACCCCTAATGTCTCCATCAGCAGTGGGAAACTGGACTGCTTTCCAGCCTGGATTCATTCATGTGCCCCCTGTTGTGTCATGTCACACGGGCGCTTTAGAGGCTGGAACGTCGTCCAGGCTGCAGCTGGGGACTTGCCAAATTATTTTATCACGCTGCTGTTTCCCCCACTTCCAGGTGGATGTAGTTGCTCCTGCCCAGGTTCTCTCCCTCACTGAGATGTTTTGTTGAAAGCAACCCAGAAAGGCCATGCAGAGGTATTAGCAGTCCCCAGATTTCAGACTCCTGGTTTTAACCTGGTGGCTGAAGAGCCCAACACAACTGCCAGATTTCAGGTCAGAAATCATGCCTGCAGATTTATCTTCCTTTTATATCCCATATTAATACCTCCTATTTCTGTAAATCAAAAAGCTAGAGTTGAATAGAGTAATGATTACCATTATAAACAAATATTTTTACTTATTTGTAGTGCAGCACCGCAGGTCTCACTGTGGTGGTCATGACAGGGCAGCACCACCACCACCAGTCCCTCCCCAAACTCACCAGAACCTGGAATTTCTTTTGTTTCAGGTTTTTCTGGTGGGATTAAGTGTTTTGTATCTTCCTGTGCCTGTGCATTCTGCTGTATGAAAAGGGAAGGCAACAATTTTTGAGCTGCTCCTGCCAGGGAATTTTTGCCTGCTCTAAACTTCCAGGCTCAGAGGGACGCAGGCGTTGGGGCAGCTGATGTGACATTGACCCTGAGGTAGAAAACAGCTCTGTCTCAAGCACTGCCCTTATCTCCTCTGCTGTTAGCTGGTTATCTGGAGCCTACACCTTGCAACCTCAGGTGTATTGTCATCAATCATTTCCTATTTTCTTCTGCGTGCTGGTTCCTCTCTGCCCTTCCTTTGTTAATAACCCAGTTTGCCTATATCCATAAAAATATCTGATTGTGATACCATTTATCCAAAGCGGCACGCATCCATCATGTGCTTATGAGTGAGATAAACAAGGTCTCCTGGGAAATATGCCGCCAGAAATATATAGGATAAATAACTATATCAAATGTATGTCAGTGTGCAAGAGGGGAAAATCCATTCATTAAAACCCGGGTGGAACTGCAGTGTTTTATTGTACCCTCTAAGCTTTTAGTTTAACTAAGAAACACACATTTTTGCTGCTTATCTCATCTTGCACAACTCTCCTGCTGCCCACTTCAGCATGAGATATATTAGCTTCTTCCACTGCCATTGTAAATGTGTAATTGCTCATAATCTTTTTTTTTTTTTCTTTTTTTTTTTCTTTTTTCCTTTCCCTAGGCCTTACAGGCAGCTTCTTCCTTTCTTCTGTCTCCAGCTTTGCTGCTCCTGGGTTTTCAGCATGTGGGTGTTTGAGCCCTGGGGTGGAGGGGGAGGACAGGGGCACTATCCACCTTCCTTTGGTGTGAAGGAAGCCCTTGGGTTTGTGTCTAAGTGCTTTGGGCTATGAGTTGAGTGATGAGGATGAACAACAGCAGGTAAAACGTAGCTTTCTGCTCTTATTTATATGTTTCCTGGTGGGATTTTGCATGCAGTTTCTTTAATCACTTTGATTTATTCTTTTTTCCTTTTTTTAAATTTTTTTGGTGGTTCTTCTGTGATTTATCCTTCTAGAAACAGCTCTAAAAGCTGAGGATGCAGGTTGTTTTCCTACAGGCCCCATCTTTTCCCAGCCTCCAAGGCATCAGATCTTTCTGTTCATTAATTTCTCCCCTCTGGTCAAAAAATGAGCACAATTGGTTTTCTGGCTGAGGTGACTTTGTACTCATTTACTTGCAGGCATTTTCCTGAGTCCTAGGAAGTCTATGTAAGAGGTAAGAATTGCTTGTGAGCCAAAGTGGTCCTTGGTGTAAGAGCCCTGTCTTGTGTTTCCACACAACGTGGCAGCATTCATGAAATCACCTGTTGTGATCCTCCATTTCACATTCCTTTGGATGTCTAAGTCACACTGATCCATGGGTGCATCGTGCTGCTTCATTTCCTAACACAGAAGACATCAAATTCAAGCCCTTGGGAGCAAATTCCTCTCTGGGTGAACAGTTCCTTTGCCTGGAATAGCAAGGTTGGCCCAAAAGGCCACCTCTTTGTCCCCCAGCAAAGGAATTTTTCACACAACAATCCATCTCTGGGTTTGAGACAACTTGGTTTGTTGTTTTCAGCCCATAGTTTCATTTTACAAGCAAAAAAAAAAAGTGGTTAAAAAGCTGGCCTTTGGCAAATATGCCCACAAAAGAAAATATGGGTCCAGATCTTCAGGTGCCATAAATCAGCTACAGTGAAGGAACAACACTGATTTACATCAGCTGAGTGTCAGCCTGTAAATCCCCACTGACACACAGTTGAAAAACAAGCATTTCCAAGCACCTGAGCAATTTCTTTCACTAAACCATGATTCCTTTCTACTCCCCCTCTCCATTCAAATGTCTACAGAAGGGCTGCTTTGTGCTTTGAGGTTTTGGTGCTGTTCATAATGCCCGATTCCTTCTCAGAGCTTTTCTGCCCCCCTTCTCCCCTTGCAATGAAAAGCTCAGTAAAATGAAGTGCCGTTTGCCTTCCGTCCATCCCAGGTTTCTGTGGCAGTTCATTAAGAAGAGGGAGCTGCAGGCTGTCGCCGTGGTCTCTGGACACAGTTCAATACTGTGTGCATTCTTGTGCTGAGATTTACGTCTCACATTCAAAAGAGCCCCTTAAATCAAGCAGCCTGTTAGCATCTTCTCAGGCTCTGTGTGCCTGGGAGATAAAATGCCTGCGTGCTAATAGTCAATTCATCACTGATCTTACAGAGGAAAAGCCTTTGCCTGTGTGGGAGCATCCTCTGCCCAACGGTTGCGTTCGAGCCTCTCTATTTATGGCTTTATTTATTTATTTAAAATTCCTCATCAGCTTGGGCTTGCATTTTGCAAGGATGCTTCAGCATCTTCAGGCTGAAGCCTTCTCCATGCAGAGCAGCATATGGCTTTGCTGCAAATGCAGCCCTGGCCAATATGCTGGACTTACAAATCTGACAGTGCCAACGTACAAAAGTTTTGTGGTACATATGTCAATACCAACTGCATAGATCGTGAGCTTTTCCCATGTTTCCCAAAGGAAAATACATAAACTCCTCGAGAGTCAAGCTCAGTTATGTAAACACTCGCCGTGGATTTATTTCATGGCACCCGTGATCACCCAGCAGCTCCACCTCCTTTGGGTGGATTCTCTGCCATCTTCTGCAGCAGTGGTGTTGAGCACTGGTGGGGCTCCCATCACATCTGGTGGGGCTCCCATCACATCTGGTGGGGCTCCCATCACATCTGGTGGGGCTCCCATCACATCTGGTGGGGCAAAACCGTGGGAGCAGTTGCTCAGCTTTTGCAGAACGACTCCAGCACTTGTTGAAATCAGTGGTCAATTATTTCTCCCAGGGGTAATTCTGTCGCAGTCCTGGAGTATTTATAGCCCAGCCCAGGTTCCAAATCACCCTGTCCCAGGCACCTTGGGCTTTCAGCAGGCTCTGCTCTGGAGGTTTCTCCCAGCACAGGGCTGCCCTCCGTGCTGTGGGGCAGGGTTGGAGCATTGCCGGCTGCGCCGCTGTGTCCCTGCCTGGCACGGGGACCAGCCTGACCAGCAGCTCCAGCGCCCGTCTGTCTCACCACCTGGGGACACACAGGAAAAAAAAGGCAAAAACAAACCAAAAAAGGGATTTCAGGTCTGGCTGAAACTCCTCTGGATACAGACTCCCTGCTCTATCCCAGCCATGCCTAGGCTGTTGAGATCAAGGCACTTTGAAGCCAGAGCAGATGAATCGGCATGGCCCCAAACACCAACAGCTGTTTCTTGTCCAACTCTGAAACCCTCAGCCTTCCCTTTCCCAAAACACAGCTCACAGCTCTCTCTGCAGCAACTTCCTAGCTTCTGACCAAGGCAGAGGGACAAAAGTCCCCTAAAGTGGTGGGGATGTTGTGAAAAGTCCTTTTGGAGATGGGTCATTTCAAAGCTTTTTCATTACAGTGCAGACTGAGCTGTCGGGAGAGGTCGATACTATGGATTATGGCACTGCTCCTGAATGATGGGAATGCTTGATGGCTGTCATTTACTGTCGTTTTTTATTTACTCATCTGGCCTTCGTGTCTGGCTTGGGCACTTTATTAATCCAGACAGCGCAAATGGATGTGTGTGCTCTTACTTAGTGCTGGCTGGGAAGCTGCTTTTTCCATCTGCTGGAACATTGTGCTTTTAAAAAAAATAAAATAGTTTGGTCTTAAATTAGCTTTGGAGATGAAACTTTGAAACTACAAGTTGCCCATGAGTTAGAAATGTTCCTGTCCCCACTGTTGCTAAAATCAAGGAGCACAAGGCTGGCCAGTCAAGGGCTCTGCTTTGGTGGCAGGTCCTGGGCTTCCCAAGCAAATTCCTGAGATTTGGATTTTATTTTTTTTTTAAAGAAACTCACTTTGCAGTCACTGAAGCAAAGCTTTGTCATTCAGCCTCACAAACCATCTCCCCAGCTCTGCTCTAACTCCTTATCTCATCACAGCTTTGATTTTCCACTGGTGAGACCCCAGTGATGAGCCCACAGTTGAAAGACTGGAGCTCTGCCTGGTGGAACTGATCTAAAGATGGATTTTTCTGCCAGCTTCATGTGCTGTAATATAGATATATATATAGATTTTCTTTTTTTGATTTTTTTTTTTTGGCGTAATGAATCAGGACAAAAATATCCAGAGAGAGCTGCAACTTTTTTTGGAAATGAAAGAGCCTGTTCCATCCGTGGCTTTTTCTGCTACCCACTTAACTTTTTAGGGTAGTATAGAAAGTGACAAAGAAAACATAAATATAAGCCTGTCACTTTGAAAAAGCATATTTTTTCACCCCAAAATAGACACTCTAATCAAAGTGCATCCCAGGATGGGGTGGGAAATCTGGCAATGTAGCAATTTTTCACTAAAACAGCTTTTTTTGGTGGTACGTTGTGTGAGCACCTGAGCCTTTCCCCTTCCCTCCTCTCCCTGTCTGCTGAGGTTTGTGCTCTCCCTCTTGGAGCACCCATCATTAGTGGGATGCCATGAGCCCTCCAGAGGATTTCCTGGATTTAACCCAGCAATTAAACACATCCTCATTTCCACTACTCTATTTATAGATATGTAAATAAATATCTGTGTAAATAAATATCTGCATGAATAAATATCTGTATGAATATTACTATTTATAGTAATAATAAATTATAGAATGGTTTGGGTTGGAAGGGAACCTCTCACTCCAACCCCTCTGCCATGGGCAGGGACACTGTCCATAATCCCAGGCTGCTGTCCAACCTGGTCTTGGACACTGCCTGGGATGGGACAACCCGTGCCAGGGCTTCACCACCCTTACAGGGAAGATTTCCTTCTTCATATCTAACCTAACTCTGCTCTTTTTCAATTTAAAGCCATTCCCCTCTCTCCTGAGCTGCCCATCTCATCCTCTTGCAGGGCCGCTCGGAATAACGCAGTAACAAAATAAGGGAAGCAACAAGAAGGGAAGGTAGGATTGAGGCACGGATGGTGGGAGCTGTTGGTTCAGCCACGTGGAGGGGGGAAATCTTTTCTGCCTGTCCCCCTGCCCTGCTGAGCCTGGGCTCTCACCTGGGCGCTCAGTCTGCTCACAGGCAGGGCCTCTGTAGCCAGGGCGGCAGTGGCAGGAGCAGGTGTCACCCACCAGGACGGGCTCCCCGTTGTTCTGGCACGGCCCGCAGCGGCAGGGGCTGAATTCCAGCAGGAACTCATCCAGAGCCCGCTTCAGGTGCTGCCTCTTGGTCTCCATGTGGCCGAGGTTGCTCCTGCGCAGGATTTCGTGGATGGGCTGCAGCTGCGGGGAATGGAGATGGATGGCATGGAAACAATTTCAGCTGGGCATCGACTGGGATGCTGTGACATTGCTGGATAAATTCAGGACTCGGGAAAAACTCATTTGTCTTCCTCGACAGCTGCATGTACATCATGCAAATGTGTTGCTGCCCCAGTGAGGAGCCACCGGTCCAAAACCTTCCTCATCTTGGAGGTTTGTGTGGGATTGGCTTTTCTGGACATGCTTTGGAGTTTTAGTATGGATTCGAATGATAAGTTAAAACACCCCAGTAAGCCCGTTTTTTTTTACTAATTTCTTAGTGCTGTCACAATCCCTGAGATTCTTGCATGCTTTTTGCCTTTTTGAAGAAAATGTTTTGGTAAGAGCTTTGGACAGAGGGTGTCATCAGAATTTATTGCCATCCTATCACTTGCAGTGGCCAGATTGTGAAATATCCAGTAAATGCTGAGAATGAAGAATTTTGCCTATATATTTTTTGCCCTTTGATGTAGTGAAATAATACTGTCATCTACAGCTTTGGGAATGTAACTCACTCATCATATTTTCCAGCAGCAAAACACAGTTCCTATATAGCAGTCAGCAAAAATAGTCCAGTTTGGGAAGCAATTATAACTTGCCCAACTGAATATTAATATTCAATGAGTATTAAAGCTAAAAACTTGTGACTGTGTGAAGACACTTATATTTGTCCATCGATGCAGCTGTGCTGACACTCCCTTTCTAGGCCAGGAATTTGTTCCAGAGAAGACCTGGGTGTCAGCTCACTGTGCAAGGCACTGTGAGAGTGATTCGTGGGGAGGATCAGGATCAGCTGGGCTTTGGGATGAACTCTTAGGCAAATTTGCACAAGCCTGTTTGGCAAACTGAGGGGGCTGCAGATAAGAGCTGCTGAAGTGGCTGCTCTGTGGTTGCAGGGTGACTGCTCAGCTCTGGAGCAGCCAACAGAGAGGTCAGTGCATGGTTTACTGGAAAACTGCAACAAATTTTGCCCAGAATTGATGGGAACTTGTGCAAAAAGGTGAATAACCTGCAGCTGGAACTGAAAGTACTTTCTGCCACCAGGTGCTGCCCAGGAAGGCTTGCACAGTCCTTCTTGCCCTGCCAATAACACAGATAATTCCCAAATCCATTTTCCCTTCTCCCACTCTCTGTCAGAGCTTTCAGCCCTGCTTTCAAATGAAGACAAGAGGGATAGAAATGACAGCGTGTCCCTGCCATGACAGAGATCCTTCCCCCACATGCCACAGCTTCTCCTGGAGCAGACTGGTGATCTTGGCATCTTGGGGTCCTCCTGACCATAGCTGAGGGGTTGTGGCCATGCCCTGGTGCCAGTTCTACCCTGGATTATTTGTTTGTAGGGTTGCTCTTCTCTGTCCCTTTCCATCCCCTCTGCTTGCACCCATCTCCTCCCTCCCCACAGAAGCCCTATAAGGTACTTCCCGTTTTATGGGGCATCCAGTGAAACAAAAGGGAGACTGGGGCTTTGCTGACTTTTATGGCCACAGACCTTCTTTTTGGAGTGTGGAGAAAGACAGAACCCACCTGACAGAAAAGCCAGGAGCTCCCTGCTCAGAGAACTCCTGGAGAGGGCCTGTCTGTGCAGAGCTTTTGCTGGGTAACAAAACATTTTCCCCAGCCCCCTGTGAGTCCCCTGCTTACACAGGAGGGCAGACAGCATCAGGGAGAATACTAGGGATGAATACAGCTGCAATTCATTGTGAAGCTGTTGGGGGGAACACATCAGAAACTTAACCTGGCACTAATCCAGCATTAAGCTCCTTGTCCATCTCCCTGTGGATGCAGTCGGTGGGAGATGTACTCCCCATTGTGAAATGAATAAGAGGTTACCAGATCAGTGGCCCATTACATTTAATCTTGTTCTGTGATGGGATCACAATAAAAATACGAAATGATCTGCTCGGCTACACTTTCATTCCTTAGAGCGGCAGAGTTTCTTCAACTGCAGAAAAGCCTTACCTGGAAATCAATAATAGCAGGATTATATTTTAATGACCTGGCCCAGTGACGATACATTTTGCCATCCCAACTGTTCAGGAGCCCTCCGCTGTAACTGGTGTCTCCCCCTCTAATCCGGGGAATAATATCTTCCACAACTGCACTGTGGCTCTCAGCATCTGGAAAGTTGAATTGCACAGGTGTTATTCAGCTGCTGTTTCCACACAGACCCCAGAAACTGCTAAATGGAGGTGAGGTCAATCATGCAGGGGGCTACCAGGGAGCTGCCTCCTGGGATGGATGTGAGCTCCCTGCTCATGGGGTGAGCCCTGCCACCTCATCACAAGGTGACAAGTTGAGCATCCCAAATCCTCTAAGCTGATAAAACCTGAAGAGCCTGCACTCCTCCAGCCTTGGTTTCTGGGTAGGACATGGGCAGTAGATCACACTGTCTATAGCTCATTATGGAATGTACAAATCTGGGGGTTCCTGCCCTCTTTGAGCACTTTTTAGAGTCTATTTTGACTTGTTTTAGTTGCCATGCACACCCAGTCTGTCATTGCTGTAGACTGCAGCCTCCCAGCCACCCCACGGCCTCTGTTTCTAATCCAGGCATTGCTACATCAATTCCTGCTCTTTTAAGAGAGATCAGGAGTCCTGGAGATGCAGACCCAAAGTTTCTGTGGTCCCACCTTGTCTGGGGGATGGCACCAGAGCTCCCTTCCTCACCCCTTGTGTGCCCCTACACGAGTCTCTGTGCCCAAGTGACCAAAACAAGTGACCCAAGGAGCCTCAACAGACCCCTGCCCTGCTGCTGTACCAGTTTTCAGGAATCCTTTGTTTTTGCAGTCAGAGTGTGTCAGAGTTGCACCCAGATCCAGTTTCTCCTTGCTGGCTGTAATGCCAAGGGACAGGCCAACACAGGCACTTATCTCCTCCGTGCTGATGGCTGCAAACCAGAAAGTAGACAGGTCAATTCAGTGGCTCCTGATGTTCATTTTCCCACTTTTTTTCCCCATCTTTGAATAAAAGATTGGGTTATTTTCATGGCTTTGTATTTCAAAGTCAAAAGCTATTCTGGGCAGAGGACAGTGGAAAAAACCCAATATTTTATTGGGGTATATTTGGCCTATCATGTAATAGGTGTAAAAGCTGTTTCCTTAGAAAATATTAGAAGAAAGTAAAAACTTTAAGGCTTCAGGCACAAACGTCCCTGTCTGATCTATGTATTTAACAACAAACTTTTGATATTTTTTACAGACTAACACATAACTAAGGTAAAGCCAGGAACAACCACTGAAATCAATAGATCCAAACTAATTTTCCTAAATTCAGGCTTTGACCCACCTATTAATGGCTTAAGCAGCACCTTAAGGAGTATCTTAGAAAAGGCCTGTGTGCTGAGAGCTGCCAGAGCTTTCCTGCCTGCTGCTGCCAGCACCAGCACATACATCATGAAAATATGTAACTGGAGAGCCATGAAGTGACTGCAGAGGGGAGAAGGGAGCTAATGAGCTGGTTTCACCAAGGTAAGCAATGTGCATATTTCATACAGCCTGGTTTTATGTAAGCACCTCAGTGTACTGCAAATATAAGGCTGTGCTCTTTAGTAGTTAAAAAGTCCATTGATTTCAGTAAATGTGGGTATTGTAAGTAAGGGGTAACTTGTATTGCTCTTTTTTGTTGGAGGACCTTAAAGTGTTTTCCAAAGGAGCCTGGTGAGCAATACCATGGTATTGAGAGGAGGCACAGAGATCAGTGGGGGCTTTGTGCTGTGGTTTAATGGTCTGAAATTTAAACCTTTGTCCAAGTCCCACCGTGGAGCATTGTCTGCTGAACAGCCTCCCGTCAGCACTGGGGAGCAGGGCCTTGCCTTGCTTGTGTTTAAAATATTGCTCAAACACTCATGGCTCTGGTTTTGTGGAAATATGGACTGGTTTGGGTTAAAAGGGACCTTTAAGGGCCATCTGGCCCAGTCCCTCTCCCTCATGGGCAGGGACATCTTCAACCACACAAGTTTTTCCAGAGCCCCATCCAACCTGGCCTTGAATGTGTCCAGGGATGGGGCACCCACCACCTCTCCAGGCAACTTGTGCCAGTGTTTCACCAACCTCATTGTAAAAAATGTCTTTTTTAATCTACATTGAGCCTCTTAGCTGAAAACCATCACCCCTTGTCCCGTCACAATGGGGCCTGATTAAGGCCTGTCTTTCTAATAGGCCCCTGGAAGGTTGCAGTGAGGTTTCTCTGGGGCCTTTTCTTGTCCAGGCTGAACAACCTAAATTCCCTCAGCATTTTCTCATAGGAGAGGTTTTTCACTCCTCTAATCAGCTTTGTGGCCTCCTCTGGACTTGCCCCAACAGCTCCATGTCTTTCCTGGGCTGGGCACCCTAGAGCTGGATGCAACACTGCATGTGGGACCTCAGCAGAGGGGCAGAATCCCCTTCCTTCACCTGTACATGGCCTTGTTGGACCTCATGAGGTTCCCACGGGCACAGAGCTTGTCCAGATCCCTCTGGGGTGTCACCTGAAAACTTGTTTGCTTCTGCACACCCTACAGGAGGGGCTCACTGCAGCCAGATGGGGCTCAAATCTGCTCCTTGGCCTGGTGGGTCCAAACCCTGCTTAGGTACTCAGCATCCTGAGAGTTCCAACTGGAGAGAGCTGAAACCTGCTCCAGACTTGAGTGGGAACTGCATCCCACTGCAAAAACTGGGCCCTTGAGAAAGATTAAACGTGTAGCACTCAATTACTTGTACTAAACTGTTCAACAGTTGTAAACACAGTGGGTAAAGTTCATTCACCCAAAGCTACATGAGTGATTGCTTATCTTGGTGCTGGAGTGCCATAAAATTAAACTTGAGGAACACCCTGATTAATTGATTTGCCATGGTTCCCGTTGAGTAATTATGTTCAGCGAGGGGCTGTCGATACCATTCGCTATTGGTCGCGGAAAGATCGGGTCTTGATAAATGAAAAGTGGTTATCACTGCAAAAGGGTGGCCTCAGTAAATATTGGCACTTGAGGGGGGAGCCCTGATAGGGTTGGTTTTTTTTTTTAGTATGATATAATTTGTGATAGTTAAATGTGCTGGAGTGATAAGATTTACTGCTGCATTTTGAATTAATCAGAATATATGAAGACTCTTTCTAATTTACTCCGTGCATAATGTTCCTCCCATAAATGTTCTTGTAATGTGTGAACACATTATGCTGTTTTCTGCTAAATAATAGAACCATAACAATCTATTTTAAAAACAAGTAATGAAAAATATTGATGGCAGAGCAACGAGGGACCTCGTTCTGACATATGTATTTATTTCACTCATGACCACATCCATATAAGCCCTTGCAGCCTGAAAGCTGGGAATGGGTCTGGTAGCAAAACTGCAGCCCTAAGCTCTGCAGTGAGTTGTGGATATCTAAACAGAGAAGGTGATTTCATTTTCAAAATTTGGGTTTCCTAAATGTTCAAAGTCCAGCTCTGTGCTGAGCGGATGCTCAGTGACCACCTAAGCTGTGTCTCATTTAGGGAACTCAGCCAAGGCATCTTTTTCCTGAGTCTGTGCTTTAGTCAAGTGTTCTCTATAAAAAAAAAAAAAAAGAATATTATCTGTTCCAGAGCATTTAACAAACAGTTTTGTGGGCTGGGTGGGGTCTCAGGATGCAGTGGTTGATCTAAAGCAGCTCCACATTCAGCCCTGTGGGGACTCAGTGATGCGTCTGCAGAGCTTCAGGCTCATCTTAGGAAGCTCTAATTTTAAGACTTGAGCACTTATATCCTGATCCTAACCATTCCTCAGGGAAGGAGGGATAATCCTCTTGCAAACACAGCCTCCAAGCATGGCTGTGATCAACATTTGAGAAATCAGGGGTTTTTTACTAAATGCTTTCAGACAGTGGCATATCAGACACTGCAGGTGGGTCCTTCTGGGTCAGTGTTGTGTGACACAGCACTGCTGGCTTGGTAAGGCTGGACTTTCTGGCAGAGCCTGGATTAGATGAAAATGGTTCTGCATTAGAATGAAAATTACATCTCTACTGGGGCACATTTTTGTCTTTTGCTGGGCTTCAGCATCCTTCTTTCCTAAGATAAGGCATCTCTTAGCAGTAAATCTCCTTACATACACAGCAAGCACAAGATAAGGCAAAATAATAGCCTCCCTCCACATGCTCTTGATTAATTCTTCCTCTGAAATTGGCAGTTTGCTTCCTGAAGACTTGCTTGCCAAGACCTTGCTCACTTCTATATCACTCACCCTTCAAAGTGAAGAAGTAATTTCAAGAGGCATCATGTTTCCAAACATTAGAGGTTCAGGAACTTGATGAAAATTCTCTCAATCAGTAATTTCTTGTGGAAAAATTGTCATGGTTATTGTGCAATGTGGAGTGCATAGTTATCCTAATGCGTGTGGGACCAAACCATTTCAGACCAGAGGCAGAATCTGGGGCAGAACCATGAAAATGATTGAAATTTCTGAAATTACAGCAATTTGCACCTGCTGTCCAAGATCAGAATTTCCTTCTGCATCACTGTCTGGCCTGGAGTTACCAAGGCAGTGGTACCCTCAGCACAGCAGAATGATGGCCCTTAGGGGAAATGGGATCTGTTGCATTGTTGACACCTTTACAGAAGTTGACAACCTGGTTATTGAGCTAGAATCCTGTATTATTGTTCTGCATCCCATGTTTTTGATTGGGAGAAACATTACACTTTTGACTTGCTAGCCATGGCAATTCTCACACTCTCAGCATCTGCAGTGGTTGTTTTATCTAACTGAGATTTAGAGGTAGGGCTCTCCAGCCTCATACACTCCAATTTGTTGAGAACTGGAGCTAACAGGGGTCTGTTAGGCTCCAGATGTGACACTGAGCAGAGTAAAGTGGCAGAGGTATTGCTGAGTGCAGTGTGGCGTTTCCATCTACAGAAAATTGCAGCCCTCACTACGAACATGAAATGTGAGAGGGTTGCTTTGCTGAGCTCTGAGTGGCTTTGCAGCCTTCAATGGTGAACAAAGATGACAAGAAATAGGAGAAGATTAGCAAGTGACACTGAGAAAATAATGCTCAGGTTCCTTCCTTAATGGCCAAACCCTCACCCAGGTTCTTCTGAAATCAGAGCACATTTGGTGACCCCAAGCCATGTGGCCAGTAGTGCCACCAGGCTGGAAATGCCAGGTTTAAAGCAGAAAGCTGAGAACAGAGAATGTATTTTGATTTTTCTGACCTTTTCTGCGCATTTCCTCCTTATTGATGACAAGTATGTACTCAAAGACACCCCCCAAGGTGCCAGATGTCATGAAGTGGGTGCCGTAGTCGTCGATGAATTTGGCATACAAGCCATAGTTGTAGGTGTCTGGGAGGTCCTGCAGGGACAGCAGCACATCTTCATCCAAAACAATGTTGTCCCTTCTCATCTTGAAGCGGGCTGTCTGCACCTTGGTCTCAGCTCTAATGAACCCAACATCCTGCAGGTAAAGAAAAGAGGAGCTGCAGTCAGCATTAATTTAAACAAATGAATTTCTAGTTTTTAGGTTTGCAGGGGAAAGCCTGAGTCTCTGACTGTCGGTGTATGTATGAAAACAAGCCTGATTTTAAATGAAATAATGGTAATTCTCTTTTTAAAGTCCCTTTCTGATGTGCTGTGGAGGTGGAGGGCCTTGGAGGGTTTTATTGATGTGTGAATATGATCACAGCTGGGCTCCATGTGATTCCCCTCCATTCTCCGTTTCTGCAATTTCTTTTTCTGGTTTCCTTTCTATACCATTTATTCCCTTTTTGCTTTCTTCACAAACCCAATGAGTGACAAAGCACGAGGGTCAAGCCCAGCCCAGCAGAGGGGAGATTCCCTGCCCAGGAAGATGCTGATGGAGGGAGAATTTCCAGGATAAACCACCAGCTCCAAGGCTCCACCTCTATATTTCCCATTGCTTTGGACAAGTCCCCACTGCAACATGAGCAGTCCTTTAAATGATTCCTCCAATAACTGATCATCATTTAGCTGCAAACATCATGTGAGTCTGGACAAGGGCACAGTAAATACTATAATGGTGCTCATTTCAAACAGCTTTTAAGGGCATTTTAACTCAGAACACCATCAAAGTAATTCTTCTTTATTGTTTTCTGTCAGCAGCCCAGAGACAAGTGGAGATGGGGCACGGTAAATGTGGGAAATACCAGCACTCATGTTATTAGATTGGAAAGAGGTCATCACAGCCAGTCCATGATGTAAACCCTCTGTGAGAAGTACACCCTATTATCAGGTACTATTTTTTCAGCGTGGTGGTTTAACCTCCTGTAAAAAGTAGCCTATTTCTCCGTCACGAGGCAGCTCGTATTAATTTGAGCAAGATGTATTTGCTACCAGAGATCACTCCTTGAGGATAATTGTTTTGATCAGCATCTTTATATTCCCTCCTCCCTCATCGTCACTTTTAAGCATTTTTTTATTTATGTGCTTAATGTAGCCATGAAACAGGATGGGGTGAGACGACATGCGCCGTGGCACTCCGTAATTCAATTTTATTCCCACTCCCTGTTTGCTAAAACATACCAAGAGCAGCAAACAGGATTACTAACGATCATACATTTGCAATTACATGAACAAATTAAGGTACAATTACCCTGTGTTAAAAAATGCATTTGAGAGAATAAACTGACATAAGTTACAGCCAGACCATGCCATGCACAGATGATGCGACTGGAGCAGATGCATCACTGATTTGGTTGGGGTTGTTGTTTTTTTTTTACCTTTGCATCATATTGTGTGAAATTCTTCAGGGATCCTTTGCCACCTGATAAAGTGAGGCCCAGGTTTAACATGAGATCTCCACCTCCAGGCCCAATTCCAATGGTGAAGCCTGTTGTTTTGGATTTATCACTTTTAAGGGCGTCAAGCAGGTCCTTTGAATCCTCGTAAAACTCAAAAGCAAATCCAGAATCAGCCTGAGTCTAAAATGAAAGGAGCAGACATTAATTTTTCAGGTGATTCCCTTCCTTTTTAATCTCTATTTCTTGAAGGAATACCTCTTAAAGCCCGTGATGCTCCTGACAGCACCAGCACTGACTTCAGTGAATGTGGAATAAGGAATTAAGTCCCGTGCCATTTCATTTGGAAATATGTGAGAAATGTGGATAAAGCCAAGCATTTTGCTTCATCCATCTCCAAGCAGGGGAGAGGTTTGTGTTTAGCCACTCAAAGCCAGAGCTGGTAATGGTACCTATTAAGACAGCCTGACACTTCCCATTATAAAACCCTCCTTCCAGTTCCTTCCAGCTCTGCCAAATCCTAACGATTTGGACTGACTTCTTTTTTTCTCTCCAGCCTGCTTCTGGATGAATTTACTTAGGAGAAGAAAAATTCAACATCTATTTACAATGGCAAGGCTAGAAAACAAACATTGTTTTGCCTGTGTTTTAGGGAAGTGACCTTTTCCTTGACAGCTCCACTTTGCTGGCACGTGGAATCAAACAGCTCTGCTGAGTCTGGGCTGTGCCATTTGCCAGCTCTGTAAAAAGACAACCCCAGTGTTCAAACTGGGGACTGAGGGACTCTGCCTGCTGGGAGGACATGAAAACTACTTCCACTGAGTAATATTTCCCATGAATAATGTGTTTGCATTTGTTCATGTCACAGTGTGGTCAAGCCAGCCACTTATGATGTGGGAGACCCAAACTGAATCCTTGCACTGCTTGGATTGGTGTCTAACATCAGATGTGACCTCATCTGTAAGTGTCGTGATCCCAGTGATAGGTTTTAGGATCCCTGTCTCACTCAGAATTCGGATTTATGCCCCTTGTAACCATGCCATACACTTAAAATGCTTTCAAATATTGAACAGCAGCATTGTTACCATTCTACACATGGCCAGCTCCATCCCCAGAGAGGCAAAGGGCTTGTGCAAGCTCTACAGCTCATTAATAGCAGAATCTAGAGACAACACCTCCCTCTTGGCTTTGACTGGCCCAGAGGAAGCAGTGGGGATGCCTGGGAGATAAAGCAGTGAATTCCCTGCGTGCCAAAAACCAGCGTTTGCACCATCGAGTGCCTGCTGAGGTACCTTAAACATAACCTACAGATGGAATGTACCTGATGTCTTTGTGGAGAGTTTGGCTTTTTAGCTTGGAAATGGCTGCTAAATTTGGCCTCCTGAAGCACTCACCAGGAACTGGAATATGTGGAAGTTGTAAGGCTTGCGGAAATACTTCTCGTCGTCTCCGTAGTGCAGGCGCTCGCAGGCGGCGTCGTACTGCAGCTCCCGCCACTCCCCGTTGTACACGTACTCACAGAGCCCCCCAAAAAACCCGGGGTCGTAAATGTTCTGTCTCCCTTCCTGTGTCAGGGTGTTGTATCTTGGAAAGAGGTAGCGTTCAGGAAGTTATCCATAGCTCTGGTTTTATTTCCTCACTCTCTGTCACAGGTTCTCCTGACGCTACAGGTTATCTGTCCTCAAGGAATTGAAATAGGACTTAAAGCTGGGTTGGGTTTGTTATCTCGTTGCTGTCTCCTTCCCAAAGCTACCAGGAGACAAACAGCCATTTTATTTCCAAGGCACTAATTTGGACTCGCACGTGAGAAAAGGAAGAAATCCGTGAAGTTGCCCAGCCCCTCCCAGCAAGTTCAGCTATGAACGTCCCAAAGTCCTGGAATTCCTCCAGGTTCCTCTTGAGCCTAATGCATCTCATTGTCACAAAGTGCTTCCTGGCATTCTCTGCAATTATTTTCTATCTTAATTTCATCTCTTCCTTTTTAGTAATGGTCCCGTTTCTCAGGGTAGTTAACACCCTCCCTAGACATGAAGCCTGTGCTTTGCCAAGTCTGTCACTTATTATTTCCTTATTCCTCCTTCCTCCTGCTCTCCAGCCCTCACAGCTGCTGCCCTCTGAAATCCCTCCTATTACTTAGTATTCCATGTAATTCTGTGGCCCAAAGTGAAAGCGTTATTCAAACTAGACAGCAGCACTGCTCTTCTCAACAGGGAACCATCTCTAGGACTAAGATAGCAAATGCCATTGCTTTGTGTGTTCTGCAGGAGAAGCACTTCAGAGAGCAAAATTAAACAGGGTTCTCGGTGAAAATTAATGCATCCCTTGTAAAACTTTTGATGGATCCTCCCAGGCCCTGGGCCAGAGAGACATTTATCTCATGGACTCCAGAGAGTGTTGGATTGAGCTGATGGGAAAGTTACACAGTGGCTGGCTCCATTCTCACCCTGTAGCCCACGTTCATAAAATCCTAGAATGGTTTGGGCTGGGAGGGACCTTAAAGATCATCCCATTCCAATCCCTCTGGCACAGGCAGGGCCATGTTCTCCGAGGGAAACTGAGCAGTAGCTCGGTCAAAATACAAGATTTTCAACAAGAGTGTCACAGTCACAATTTGCCTTTCAGTTTCATTTTATTCTGGGTTTCTCTTTTTGCCTGTATCAACTAATGAAAATTTGAAACTGAGCAGGGAAACATTTTTGTGGATAGGAGTATTTACCTATACTCATGTGGAACTCAGGCTCTCTGCCTTGGATCTGTGCTCTGAAGTCCTAAATCCTGGAGTTAAATCTCCTTAAGGATGAATGCCAGCAGGGTGCTGTACCTCCAAAGTCTGCTCTTTGCTTTAGTCTTTTACTTTTAACAACTGGAGAAGGCTGTGAGATAACTGGGATCTATTTTTTCAGGAGTATAAAAAGGGCATCACAAGTACTGTGGTCAGGTAATAGATCTGAGACAGAATTTGAAATAGAAGCTGGAATGAACCCTCACTGCCCCCCACAGCCACGTGGGACAGCACCTCCCCTTTGGGTTTTGCACAGCCCCCTATCAATTCATGGATCACTGCTATCACTAAGGAAGAGCAATATAAGAAACATAATCCTGTTTTGATTGCAAGAGGAGCAGCTATTGATTAATTACTCACCCTTGGACTGCTTTTTCCACCCCTGGGATTGGGAACAGATGTTCACAAGGGCTTTCAATATCTTCATCCTCACAGTTATCCTCATCAGAGCCGTCTCTGCAGTCTCTGTCTCCGTTGCACACGAGATGCCGTTTAATGCAGCGCCCTAAAGTGCACAGATGCAGGCAGTGGCTTATCCACCCTCCAGAAATCCTGGCTGGCAGCTTGCACTGATTGTGCTGGTTTTCACCCACATCTCAGGGCCACAAGAGGTCATGCAGAGTGTTAAATACAGCTTTATTCCATGGGGAATTCGCTTTTCCAAGTCTCTGGGACCTAAGCACAGCACAGAGTCCAAGCCATGGCCACTCCCATGGGCTTCCATCAGGTGGGAATCAAGGAGAGGTCACCTCGCTGTCCTGACTTTATTTTCTAAAATCACACTCTTGGAAAGTTGCTATAGGAATAGCTTCACCCCTTGGCTTAAGGAAGTCAACTCCATTTTATTAAAGTTCACGTTTTCCTCTTCCTATTGTAGGAGGCATTTGGGGAGTTTATTGCAGTAATTAATTGCAAGAATGGATATTTGCAGGGAAGGCAATGTGGAAGGGCTTTTGCTTCTGGAAGCATGGAGAAAGCCTTGAGGAGGAGCTGTCACTGCTTAATTTACCCCAGTGGAGTGATGATAACCTGCTCCAGCTGATGAGCTGGTCACAGAGCTGACCTGTGGCTCCAAATTTCAGCAGAATTTTCATTAAATGCTCAGGAGGGAAGTTTGAGCCATTTGTATAGAAACAAAAATCTGTCAAGGCTAGTCAAAGTTTCAGAGAACAGCCGTTTTATATCCTAATCCTCAGAGCTGGAGGTGGCTAAAAATAAGTAAATCACCCCAACAGATTGCTGGTTGGATTGATGATTGAACTCTGTCTCTAGCAGGGGAGAAAGCGGCGCGTTGCGGGAGCGTTGTGCCCGCCGAGGGGAGTGTGAGCGTGCAGCACAGCAGTTGGAGCAGAATATTCCTACTCTCTTTGTTCCACTGAAAAATTCACATTCTCCATGTCACACAGCCTTCTTTTCTACCCAAATCCCAGCGTAACATGGGTGGATTTCTGTAAGAGGAAAACACTGAAGAGGGGGAATTTCCTGCTTTCTCTCCTACTGGTTCTCCCTCCTGCTGCCCGGGGCAGGGCACCGATACCCCCAGGACCAAAACCTCTCTGGCAGGCGTTTGTGCCTGGGTCACTCACCTGTTCCCTCGCACTGGAAGTCCTGCCCACACCCTGGTGGCCCTGTGCACGTTGTCTCAGCTCGACAGGCTTGCTCATCCCAGAGCTGCCCAGCGCAGCGTCGCCCTCCAAACTCTGCTGGCTGTGCCAGCCGCCGGTAGCGGTGCTGCACAGAGACACATCCACGTGTATCCCCCACAGGAAACCCCTCCCCAGGCCATAAAGCAATCAAAACTATCATTTTAATATATATTCCTATTTCTATGTGTGTGTGTGGCTTGAAGGCTTCATATGTAGTAAAGGCAGGAGAGTCAGGAAGAGAGCTGGGAGCTCAGATTTGTCTGGAGTTCATACGTGTGGACTTAGAGGGGGCTGGAATGGCTGTTTTAAAAATATCTCTGTTTTATACCTTGGAAAAATATGGCATTTTTCCAGCTGCATATGCTTTGTCCTGCAATGCACCAGGCTCAGATGGACACAGACACTAATTACAACACTGATCCTGCAACATTTCTGATGGATTATTAATGAGAATTGCTGCTCTTTAAATTAGGAAGGGAAAAAAGAAAGGGAGAAGAGCCATATTATTTACTGATAATATACTGTTTATAAGCACAGGAACAAAAAAGGCAGGGAGAAGATAAACTCAGTAGAAAGCAGAATTATGTCAGGTATTTGAAAATAAATTCTCAAACTATGAAGACATATGTGAAATGATATAAAAATATGAGAAGAAGAGCTGATGCATGAAGGCTGCTTCTAATTTCTTTTTACCGGACTATTTGCATTAAGAATCAAGGGATACTTAATTAAATCTGAGACAGAAAAGGAAGAAAGTCTTGGGCAACTATTCTGGCCTGATTCTTCCACCATTTGCCTTGATTTTGGTTTTCTTGTTCTGCTGCCTCGAATGAATTTATTCCCCAGCTTACACCAGGGTAAATAAGAGCCTCTCTAGGAGAGGAGCATTTCCATCATATTTGGATGAGTTTACTGGATGCTTCAGAATGATGAATATGTATAATATATATAATTAATGTGTGTACATCCTCATCACAGACACATCTGAAGATGAATGAATACATTACAGTGGATCCTTACTTTCTTCTCTTGGCAAGGGAAGCAATCAGTCCATCCTGACCACTGGCTCAGCTGACAGTCGACAGGAGCTGGAGAATTAACATTTCTGCTGCTTCTTCTAGGGAGGGGAAGAAAGAGTGGTCTGAGGTCTTTGAAGCTGTGTTTTGAGAGTGGCTGGAGGCTGGAAGGGGCAAAATTGTCTGTGTGTGTGTGTTTTTCCACCAGGAAGCTGGTGTGTAGGAAATGGGAAGCACCCCAAGATGTCCCATCCAAGTATTCACCATCAGAATTGAGCAGGGCCTGCACGTGCAGTACTTGGGGATTTTGCCTTGGGATTCCTGCTCTCCCAGGACATCTTTGCCCTTTCCAATTGGTAGATTGCAATTAAAAAAAAAAAAAAAAAAATATATATATATATATATATATATATATGAGCAACCATCCTGAGTAAACAGAAGGAATGTCATGGAGAGATGGGTTTTAAAGAAAAGCTGATTTTTTTACCTTTCTTTTCGGAAGCACATCACAATCTTCAGGAGCAGGGATGTTTATCACTACTGAGCCTGTTTTGAAGTCACTTTCTTTCCAGTGTGAACTCCCAGGATTTTTCCCAGCAAGTGGGAAATCAGATCCTGGTTTCCCTGGGCTTTGTGGAGGGGTGGGAATGACTGCACCAACAGTGCTGAGAGAACAAGGTACAAAGGACCTTGGCTAAGAATTTGTTGGTTGAGTGTTTCTAAAGCAAAATACACAAACTCTGAAAATAAGAAAATAACTAAAGGAATATTATGAAAGGAGAAAAGGGCAAAGGTACAGTATTGTAGCGGCTCTTGGATTAGACTCTCTGCACATACTGTGAATATCACTACACAACAGCCAGCAAATACTTCTCCTGCCTCCCAGCCCAGTCATTATGATCTCTAGTTCTGTCTCTTCTCCTAAAACCTTCATTTGATGAGCCATTTCTTTGTCTTGAGGAGCAATCTGTGGCATACAAATACAACCCTGCGTATCCACAGCCTTCGAAGCATTTGAGGGTTCATTCTGAGTCAGAACACTATTATTTTTATTATTATTTTGGTGATTAACTAATGAGCAGTCCATTTCACTTACAAGACTGCAGTCCAAAGAGAAATATAGATAATTAGCAGAGGTACATAGCTCATGGGGGATCCACCAGAAGCTGGGGAAGAGAGATTCACTGAATGGAAGCCACAGCAGCTCAGTAAGGGAGCCTGTGGGTGCAGACCCTTGTGTGAGCTGAAAACCCAGGAGGCTGCAGATGAACCCAGAGCTGGAGGACGTGCAGGTATTGATGCCTTTTCGCTCTGACAGGAGGATTTGTGGGCTGCATCCTTCAGCACTTCGCCAAGTACTTAATTGGCTCACCTTTGATTGGATTTTACATTTCCCTCTTCATTATTCTGCCTTGTTTGATAAGTTCATCAAACATCAAAAATCTCGTCTTTGTTCATTTTCAAAAGGGATTATCGGAATAAGCCTTCATAATTAAGTGTATCACTACCAGTTGTTTTTTTTTCTTTCTGCCTTCTCCTTGTCTCCATGTTCCAATTATCACTGATACCTTTTTTTGATCCTCCTAAATCATATTTGCCTTTACAACAAGCTTGAAATTAATAGCTGTAGAAAAAAAAATAAATCCACCCATTTCCCTATCATGACACTATAGCTTTAGAAAAAAATGTAACTTGTTTATTCCTTTCCTTCAAAGCCCAAGTGACACTCAGATAGGTTAACAATATTGTTCATGGGAAAAAAAAAACCTGAGGTGTGAGGATCTGGCTTGGACTGAAAACTGGGTTATTCACATGCACTTGTTAGCTTCGTGTTGTCGAGTGCAAAATAATTATAATGCAAAAGAATATGAAAAATATTAACTCATAAATCATCCTGCATAGAGAATTCATTTCAAGTGCCCAAACCCAGCCTGGTAATTTCGGTAAGGAAGTTTAAGAAGGCTTAATAGTCATCTGTAAAACCATTGTGCAAACAGTTCCTTTAAGAAGGAATTACAGTGACTGGCTTGGGCTTTGGACAGCTGCCAATTTTTAATTCTTTTTTTTATTTTTTATTTTTTTTTTCTCCTGGTAGCTTTGTGCACATGCCTCAAGTCAGGAGAAAACTGATGGGCTGATTGATGTGCTGGTAATTCCTGTATGGAAATGTGGGGAAGGGAACAGGCTTACCTGTGGGAAGGTGGTGCCTGCAGCTCCCTGCACGCCGTGGCCGGGGTTGGTGTCAAAGCCAGTGACACACACACAGACAGGATCAAGGGACAGAGCTGAGCCAGGCTCCACCACATTGCTTTGCCATACGTAAATGTTTGCTATAGATCAGCTGCAAACCAAAGCTTTTAAGTTTTCAGGGCTGCTGGAAGGAGCATGGAGCCCACCAGGCTCTGAAATGCTGCAGTAAATCATTGACAGCAGCACAGATCGAATCACAAAGAATCAGGACACATCCCAGAGGCCTTTGCCCTTTTGGAAACAAATTCCCTGTTTTCTGGCAAGGAAATATATTAAAGTGTGCAACTGTTTCCACATTAAAGTCAATCAAGTCCTATTGTAGCAGTGTGTTTCTTACCCAGCCTGCGCCCTCCTTTTAATTTGAAGGGGGAGGAAACTCCTGTTATTTCCCACAGTGACTTCCCTGTAATTTTGATGTGTCTGGTTGCTGACCAGGGAAAAGCTTCCCAGTACAGCAAATTGAAGATTAACAGAAAACTGTATTATGAGGAGTGCCTGCTTTCCAGACACATGAAGGAAATGTCAGTTCAGCTTCCTCCCCTTGCCAGCCCCACCAGGCAGCTTCCCACCCCTAAAGCTGCTGTGAGTTATCACCTGGCTTTTGGATGGCCCTACACAGCCACTGCAACGTGAAAATCGAATTCCTTCTTTGCTAAAGTGATTTGGGGAGGTGGAAGATGTCCCCTACATCTGAAATTCTTGTGGCCATACCTTGTGCAAACCCATCTGCTCGTGGTGGCTCTTATGCTTTTAGCCAGGTGGCATCTTAGTGGATGTGCATAAGTGTAGGAAAGCAATACCACAGAAAGCAAGAACACCACAGGTTATTTCATTTTAAGATAACAGTCACAAGATGACAATATTTAGTTCTGTCATGTTAGAAGAAATTAAAAATAGCCATGGGAAAGATGCCTGGTCACAGCCCAGGTTGCCTCATAGCTGTTTCTTCAAGCTTTCACAGCCTCCAAAATGCCCCCCAAAGGCACTGGGCAGGCACAAAAGTGCACAAGGAATCTGTATCTTCATTAGGCAGCAGTTAAAAAAAGAGTAAGAGATCTATGGAGACTTGTGTGCTCTAACAAGTGCCTGTTTCTCCCTGCTTTTTCTTCTGCATAAGCGGGCCGAGATGCTTCGTGCATAAATGAAGTGTTCCCAGCAGACAACTGGAAGTTTGAACCTCAATAAATTCAAGAGGAAGTGTAATTATTGTAGGAAAGCCTGGTCTTGGGCTATTATAGCTGTTAAACAGACAGTGAATTGTCCTGGGCCCACAAAAGGCTGGGCTGGAAGTGTCATTTTGTGTATTTCCCAAATCAATTGCAAAGCTCATTTCAATAGCTGGTATTGTAAATTATCAAAATGAAAGGACCTCTTAGCCAGTTATTTTCATGTAATTAAAGTTCAGAGTGACCCTGGGGCTTGTCTTTGCTAAACACTAAGAAATGTAGCACAGGGGTAAACTCAGTATTGGAATGAAATGAGAAGTGCCCTTCTGTGACCTTCGGGAGTGCGTTAATGCAATTCTTTACCTACTAATGCACTGCAGATGGGCTCAGAAAGGCCTTCTCCTCTCTTTGCCTGTGCAAGAAGAACTCCAATGAGGGGTTTAATATTTTTTTAATATACTATTAAACCTAAATTGCTTTCGCCTGGGAGAAAAAGTAGGGAAATGTAACTGGCCTGAGGCAATCCCCCTCGTCACCTCCCCATTACACATCACAGCCTCTCTGCAGGTGCCTGGTAAGACAGAAGGACGTAAAAAGCTTCTGGCCGTGCTTATAGAGGTCTGGTGGGGATGCACCCCACTGGTTTCCATCCAAACCTGGGCTGTCCTGTGATACAAATGGCTGTTTTGCACAGCCAAGTGCATCCTCAGCATCTAAGCGAGGCTGTCAAAGCATTATATCTTCTTCTTTTTTTTCCTGATAGCAGCATCAGAAACACCCCCTGTATATAATGGAAGTTATTTGTGGCACATCTCCCAGGTAAAAGGCTGGGCTGGTTTGTGCAATCAGGCACAACACCAATTTCTCACTGATGGGTGAGGTCGTCTGGGGGAGAGGCGTGCGGGAGAGATTTAAGCAGCCAGCAAGGCACTCCACGTTAGAGATGAAATTAAAGAACCTTTCTCAGAGGTGTTATGTTCCAAAAGTGATATATATATACACACACATATATATAAAAGCTGTGGTTCCATTTAGAACATTTTGGACTGAATGTGTCTAAAATGTTTGTGTTGGATCCTTCACTCCAAACCCAAATTAGGTCTCTGAGCCTCTGCCTTGCAGTGCTGGCTGTGCTGTCCATGGCGATGCAGTCACCCTCAGGAGGATGAGCCATGAAGTCTTCAGGAGCATGGAAAAAGGGCTGTGAGCAGGCTGGGCAGTGAGCTCACATCGTCACTTTGTGGCTATTCCCACCACAGAGCTCTTTCCCTGACGCTGAAGAACCCTTTAATTAAAAGAGACACAATTCCTCACTCACAACTCCTGCCTATCTAAAATCAGGGCAGATTAACTCAGTGTAAACAAACTCTGTGATAGCAACACGGGACTTTGTTCCACTTCAAAAAAGGCTCCATTTCAAATGTGTTTGGCCCAACAAAGGGAATTAATTTCTGCCTGAAGAGTGCATTGATCTTTTAGGTATCACCTGAGAGGCCTGTGGCTAACGTGGCTGGCTGCACAAGCCTAGCCCCAGGGTGAAGTTGTAATGGGTATAACATAATGTTATTGCCACCCAGTGATTTGCATTTGTTCCTTCTTTGTATCTGGATTTTTATTTTTAGTATATTCATATAGCTTTTGCTGTAGGGGATACAGTTATGTTAAAAAATTCATCCTTTTTTTATGCCAATATTCTATTTATATTTTTTGTAGTCTATTATTCACGCAGTACTTTGAATCTGAATTTTGTTCCTACTTGAAGACCACGGCCATTTAAAGGCAGAGAGGCCTGTTCTTTTTTATTTTATTCTAGCCATCCTCCTCACAAAGTTTGCTGTGTCTGACACCTGCCATGTGCTGTTTGCTCTCTTGTGGTTCAGCAGGGAAAAGGGCAGAGCAAACAGCCTTTTATTCAGGGGTGGTGGGGGTTTTTTGGAACAATATAGAGATTGTTGCAATGTGCAGAGGTTATACAGGGCTGTAAGATCAAGGAGCTGTGCCTTGCAGTTGGAGCTCTACCCTTGGGAAGTTTTGCTGTTTCACACGTGCTTTTGCAGCACACATGGGCTTTTCTCATCCTCTCTTTCTCTGCACAGCAGCTTGGTAAAAGAACTTCTGTTTTGCCAAGGAAGCCAAGCTGGCTACAGAGGTCTTCATCAAAAATCAGAATCCCAGCGCAGATGTCATCAAGAGAAGGATTTCGGTTCAGAGATGGTTTGATGCTGCAGAGCAAGCAGGAGACCTGACAGAAGCAAGAAGAAGGACAAGAGGTTTGGTAGAGTTCACCCTGCAGAGCAGATGCTGTGGTGATGTTCCAAGGCTGCATTAGAGCAGGGAAAGGCTGAGCCTGACCCTGCCCATCACTGCTGGCACAGGGGGGACAGCAAACGCTGCTGCCCAGCCTCTCAGCACCACGCTTCTCCTCTGTGCAGGACTGAGCTTGTGTCTCAGGCTGGCTGTGGAGAGATGTGGGAAAGGTCCACCCAAGGACCAGCAGATGACCACAGCCCTAGTGCTGCACCTGCCAGTCCTCATTTGGTGTCCCTGAACCCAGAACTGCTCTGGTAAGGTCCCTTCCACCAGAGTAACCACTTAGCTTTGCACACAAGGGATTTATTTGGGCTACATTGCTAAAAAAAGTTGAGCACTTAAGTGTGGGATCAGGGCCATCCTGCAGAGACAACCGTGTGGCTTGGACAGATAAAATACCTGACACTTTGCAAGGCTTTTAAATTCATTTTCATGGGTCCTACAGTGCTTTGATGGGCCTGATCTTAAAACTTTGGGTGGAGCTGTGTGGGTACCTCCATGGGCTGCTAAACAATGCTTGCCCTGTGCAGCCACAGCAAGTGTTGGCTTTTGGAATGCAAGGATCAATAATACTGCATTTTCCTGAACCCCTCGTTCCTGCCAGCAATGACAGAGCGAGCAGCTCGATGGTGGAACAAGTGATCCTATTTCCCCCTCTGCTGGAAAATCACGATATGACCTCCTGGCAGGAAAAAGGATGAGATTCCAGCTATCCTCGTCCCTACCCTGGGCAGGGGGTGGGAATTAGATGATCCTTAGCATCCCTTCCAACCCAAACCATTCTAGATTTCTATGAGATGTGCAGGGAGCCAGGCTGGAGGGAGTGTCCTGGCCCTCCTGGGAACAGAATAATGCACTAAAAGCGATCCAAATCCTTCCCCAGCACTAGGCTGTGCCCTGCTTTCCATTTCCCCCCATTTTGGGGAGTTTTGAGGTGGGTTTTTTTTTTCAGAGATGTTGTCCCACGTGTGAGCAGCCAGTAGCTGGTACAAGGGAAAACAACTTGTCCGATCATCCCCAATCTAAAATATCTTGACACTGGGCTAATGTTATCACCAGTTATGTCATGGGCAATACCTAAATCTTGCTATCTTCTGAAAATGACTGGATTGCCCTAAAATTCGTCTCATCTTCACCAGTCACACCGCCCTACCTTTCTAAAAAGCTGAAATATTAAGAATAAAGCATATTCCCAAGATCTGCTGTTGTTCTTGGCTTCTAGTAGCGCCTCTGTAAAATCCAAAAAGGATAAAAAAGTTGGAAAAAAAAAATCCCAAATCTCTATAACAGATTTACATACAAACTCCACCAGTCCACTAATTAAAAAAAAATGAAAAAATGAAAAAGATAATTCAGGAAAAATAAGTCAGCTGGATGCTGTTCTTGTAGCCCCCAGACTGATGCAACTACATAATGTACTAAAAGCTTCACTGCAGGAAAAAAAAACCACTCAAGACATGAAATTTAAAACTTCTAAACAGGCTGAAATGGTTTGTTCTGGGGAGGCTGTGCATGTGCAGGGTGTGTTTGGGGCTGTGCTGTTTGGGTTTATTCCCACTGGGGCTGTGCCTGGGAATTCCCATCCTGGGTTGGTGCCTCTGAGATGCAATCCCAGAGCAAACCCCAAGCTCCTGCCCAAAGGAGGGGATCACTCTCTTTTGCTGGGGAATCAAAAAAAGATTTGGCTTCCACTTGTGCAGTGTTTGATGTTCACAACACCACGGTTGCCCCGTGCTCCCTAGGCAGTTTTTGTAGCCCAGTGTGATTTACGGCAGCCCTGGTGGGGCTGCTGGGGTCCCACAGGGCTAGCACTCACAAAATGCATGTTTTAAAGAAACTTTTGGCATTTTACTTTAATTTTAGAGTGCATGTAGAGGAATCTACCCTGTCCTTTTCCTCAGGACTGCAGCTCTGAAGTCAGAACCTTCTGATTCTCCAACAGTGCTTTAATTCATGGTCTGTGTTCACACCACTGGGCGGGTCATAAATCCTCCCCAGCTACCTGTACACAAAGCTGGCATTGATTCCCATCACACTGCGACTCCAGCACTGCCTTGGGAGACTTCCCTGCCAGCTTCCAGCTCGGCAGGATCTCCCTTTCTTCTCCAAGACCTCCACGCAGCAGCAGGGCTTTTCATGTGGTGAGGAGCCAGACTCATGCTTCCAGTCGTGTCCCTGACAAATAAGCCTTTTTCTTTTCCTCAGTTTCTCTTCCTGCTATTTTTCCCCTTACATTTGGCTCTGGAAAGCAGGGTCGGTTCCTGAAGGAATTAGGGATGCTGGGGGAAAGGATTTGCTCAATGCCCAAGTGCAGAGGGGGTTAGGACAGAGGGGAATGGCTTCAAACTGAAAGAGGACACGTTTATTAGGGCAGATATTAGGAAAAAAAATCTTGCCTGTAAAGTGGTGAGGCCCTGGCACAGGGTGATCAGAGCAGCTGTGGCTGCCCCATCCCTGGAAGTGGCCAAGGCCAGGCTGGACAGGGCTTGGAACGGCCTGTGACAGTGGAAGGTGTCCCTGCCCGTGGCAGGGGTTGGAATGATTTTTAAGAGGTTTTTTAAGGTTTCTTTTTCCAGACATCTTATTGGGAATGTCTGTAGGAGAGGGGCTGAGTCTTGGTGTGTGGGATTAGGGCCAGCTGATGAGAATTGCTCAGGCTGCCCTGCCCTCCCAAGCCCCATCAGCAGGCACCTCTGGAGGCCCCCAGCCCCCAGGCTCCGTGCAGCAGCTGTTCCTGCTCCAAGGAAACACCGAGCACTCCTGAAGAGACACAGCAAATAACATTTGACCAGTTACAGAGGGGAAAAGGAAGTCCTGGGGCTCTCAGCTCTCTTCTCGCCAAGCTAACCTGCCTTGCTTTTCCTGGGAGACAGGCTCTGTAAAGACATGGGCTCAGTGTTTGGACAGATACATTCAGCCTGTTCTCCAGGGCAGAAATACCCAGTGATAGGAGAAGTCTTGTTTGCCCTAATTTAGCTGTTCCTTAGGACCCTGAGGAACAGCTCTCCGTGGAGAGGAGCTGCTTCACCAGGGAGAGTGTGTGAGCTGCAGTAGGGGAGGCTGGTTTTGCTGGGCTCTGCTGTCCAGAGATGAAGGAAACACTTGGTTCCCCTGAGGAAATGTCTGGTTTAATCACTCCGAGGTGTCTGGCATCGCTGTGGGGAAGAGCGTGGTGCAGGCTGGGGTGGTACAGAAGGGTGGGTGACACCTATGGGGAGACCTAAAATTTGGGGTCAGAATTACTGCTGGACATCCTCTCTCCTCAATTTTTCCTGCCCCAGATCAGAGCGTGCTGTGGGGGGATTGGAACTGGACGATCTTTACAATCCCTTCTTACCCACACCACTCCAAGATTCCATGAACTTCCACGGCTGTGGACATCCCATGGACACACACGGTGCTGCCAGGGCACCCATGCCGAGGGCAAGTGCCATTCTTTCCTTGGAAAAGCAAACCAAACCTGATCTCTCCCTTTCCCATCTCTTTTTCCCATCCCTGTCCCGTCCCTTTCCCGTCCCTTTCCCATGACTTTCCCGTCCCTTTTCCCGTCCCTTTTCCCGTCCCTTTTCCAGTCCCTTTTCCCGTGCCTTTTCCCGTCCCTTTTCCCGTCCCTTTTCCCGTCCCTTTCCCGTCCCTTTCCCGTGCCTTTCCCGTCCCTTTTCCCGTCCCTTTCCCATGACTTTCCCATGACTTTCCCATGACTTTCCCGTCCCTTTTCCCGTCCCTTTCCCATGACTTTCCCGTCCCCTTTCCCGTCCCTTTTCCCGTCCCCTTTCCCGTCCCCTTTCCCGTCCCTTTCCCCGTCCCTTTCCCATGACTTTCCCGTCCCTTTTCCCGTCCCTTTTCCCGTCTCTTTTCCCGTCCCTTTTCCCGTCTCTTTTCCCGTCCCTTTTCCCGTCTCTTTTCCCGTCCCTTTTCCCGTCTCTTTTCCCGTCCCTTTTCCCGTCTCTTTTCCCGTCCCTTTCCCGTCCCTGCTGCCATTCGTGGTTCAGGGAGCCGCGGGGCAGGCTCAGCCCTGCCCAGGTGAGTCTCTCCCCGCCCCGGGGGCAGAGCCAGCCTCAGCCAGGTGTGTTCAGGCTCGGAGCTCCAGGGCAGCCAGAGCGGCTGTGGCACACGGAACATGCGGGGCTGAACACGGAGCAGCGAGGGATGGAGCTGGTAACTGCTGGGGATCTGTTTCTTCTGCTCCTGGCCCCGGGGAAGGATTTCTGCTTGGTTTTCTGCTGCTGCTTCGGGGCTGTTCTCTCCAGGGAGTGCTTGCTGTAGTTTATCCCTGGAGTGAGGCTTGCGCTCTCATCGCCGCTCCTGCTCTCTGCTGACCACACAGATTCTGCTTTGCTGCCCCAAAACAGGGGCTCCCAGAGCCTGCTTTCTTCCCCTCTCACTCTGACACCAGCTGCAGTTGTGCCTCTTGTTTTAACAAGAAGTAAAGATGGGTTTTTTTACTTATTCTGGGAGAAGCCGGGTTAATGAGTCGGTATCTGCAGCCTGCCCGGGGTGCCTGGGCTTGGCTCCAGCAGTCCCACGCCAGGGCAGAGGGCAGCACAGATTAAACATTTACCCACCACAGCTCCCTTGGGAATCAAGATAAAGAATGGAGTCAACCAGAAAAATTCCAGGAGGGGAACAGGCAGTGCTTCCTCTCGGCTGTCCAGCGTGCCACGTCTTGAATGGGGTTTATCTTCCTGTGTGGATTCGTTTTAGAAAAGCAAACTAATGAGAATTAGCTTGATTTAGTGAATTAATTGAGAAAGCTTTGGAGTAATCTTATTGCAGCATTTCAGTACCTGAAGGAGCTACAGAGGAGCTTGAAAGAGACTTTTGACAAAGCCCTGGAATGACAGGATTAGGGGAAATGGCTTCAAACTGAAAGAGGGCAGGGTTAGATCAGATATTAAGGAAAATTCTTCACTTACAGGGTGGGGAGACCCTGGCACAGGTTGACCAGAGAAGTTGAGGCTGCCCCACCCCTGTAAATGTCCAAGGCCAGATTGGATGGGGCTGTGAGCATCCTGGTCAGTGTCCCTGCTCCTGGAAGGGGGTTGGAACCCTTTAAAGGTTCTTTAAAGTCCTTTGCAATCCCAACCATTCTGGGATTCAGTAATTCAGCTTCCTTTTGGTTAGTCCGAGGTACCAGCACAAGCCTCCTGCTGGGACTCCTTCTAAAAGGCACCCTTATCATAGGCTTAAGATCTGCTTCCTAGACTGATCTTGATGTTAGAGGAACATTTTATTTATAGAGAGAAAATATGGAAAGTTTTTCTGCCCCCTGACTCCATAATGCTTCTGTCCCCTGACTCCTTAATGCTCACAGCTTTCCGGACAGTGGAAGTTTGTTTCCTTTTTTCTCTCTTACCCTCTCATCTTGCGTGGGCTTTTGCCAAATGTGGTATTATTCACAGTCAATTATTTGGCCAGATGTAGCTGTAATATGCATTGTGAGCTTTTGACAGGCCTTTAAATGAGTGAGGGTATTCCCCCTGCTTGTCAGCTGCTCTGATTTTTCAGGGGACCTGAGCCCTCCCTGGGCTCCTGGGACTCCACGTGTGTCCTGCCTGTGACCTGCCCAGCACTGTGCTTAATCTGAGCATCTCCCTGGGCCAGCTGAAAGTGCATGGATGGAACAGGAGAGCTGCTGAGATGGGTTTGTGGTTTGAAACAGTCCCAGCTCGGATGGAGAATCATCCCTGCAGAGACAGGGAGAACTCACTGCACCTTGGAGGGTCTGGCTAAGCTCGGCCCTGTGCAAGGAAAGAGCATTTGCAGGAGCTTTTGGGGAGGGATGGATTGCCCAGCTGGGTGTGGGTGTGCAGGAGGTGGCCATGGGGTGCAGTTTAACCCCTTCCACTCCAGCTGTTCTCTGTATTTGTCCCTCTGTACTTGTCCCTCCTTCCCAAGAGCATCCCATCAGGCTGCACTCTGGGGGAACCATATCCTACTGAGACTGCACTGAGGTAATCTCCCTCTTAATTAGGCAGATCGGTTGTTTCAAGGCAAGAAGAAAAACAGTTTGAGGGGGAAAAAGGCCAGCTCGTGTCCATCCCACTTCAATTAAACTTAGTGCCAAGCTCCTGACTGCCACAGCCCATTTCTGTCACAGCCAGTGCCAGGGAGAGGCCTGACTAAAAACCCCGTGTCTGCCTCGCCTGGGGCACATTGAGACAAGCAGGTACCTTTTCCTTTCTCTTTTCTTTGTCTCTGAGGGCTCTGATGAGGAACAGTTTGCTCCAATAAAGAAAACCAGCAAGGGGAGGTAAACAGCACTGAACTCTTCAAGCACTGCTGCAGCACATGCAACAGCAGCTCCCTGCAGCTGCATTAGGGCACCTCGCTGCTTTATTTCCTGTCTGGCATCGCTGCAGGGATCGGGTGCATGCAGGATTTTTTTTTTAAATTCCATTTTTTTTTCCCCCAAAATCTGATTTATCCTCGGTGTGCCTCTGGAAGCTCCTGATCCGTGGCTCGCTGCTAGATTAGCCTGTCTGGGCAGCTCACACAGCATCAGGCTGCTGACCACTAATATGAAATATAATTGGAGCAATTCAAACCTCTCCCCCAAGGGCTGCTTCTTTACATCATGTACTACCCTGTGAAAGTAATAAAGTCAGTGAAAGGGGTTATTCAAGAGAAATTGTCAGTGTTTAATAAATCGTGCAATTAAATGCAATAAAACCTCAGTATGCTATTCATCTGCTCTGTCTTAACACTTAAGGCTGGGGCTTTTTTCAGAATAACCAAGTTCTGTCCTAGATAATTTTTTCCAATTTCCTCATTAGACAGGTTCTCGTGAAGCCTTGTGCTGAACTAAGCTGCCAGAGCAGAGCACCTAATGTAATCATGGCATATAAAAAGTTATAGAGCAGTTCAAGGACTTAAGTAGCTCATAAATTTTTCTTCATATTTTCTCCCTAGTTCAGTTCAGGGCTGAATTTAAGCCACGGCACTGCAGGCAAAAACTGTGGTCCCTTTTCAGAGTGAGGGACTGAAACAAAATGTTCTTTAAGTGCCCTTTTAAACTGCACTGTCACTGATTTGCTCCTTTTCTTCAAGAACCTGAGGTCTGGTGCCTGTGTGGGAGAGGAATTGAGTGCCATGGCCAGTATCCATCACCTGCGCTGGGAGATGCTCTTGATGTCTCTGTGGGCCACGTGTTTGGGCTGTGTGTGCTCTGCTTCCTGGAGTGGTCTTAAAGGCAAGGGGAGAAAAATCCAAAGAGCCTTAGAGACCCTGAGCTGAACCAGCACCTTGGAGGGAAGAGAATTTTGTCCCAGGGTTCATTAGGAGTGCAGCACCAAGGAGGATATTTAGTGCTTCTCTTCTCCTGGTGGAGTTTTCTCAAGGAGGACGGGGATGGGCTGGGCATCTCTGGAGCAGCACTGGCCCCTCCCCTGTTTGGTGCTTGTGTACTGAAAATAAAGTGCAGCTTTCACACCCAGCAGGTGCATAAACAGCATTGCAGCACCTCTGCCAGGAAAGCTCTAACACTGAATCCAGTGTTTGCCAGATCCTCCCAAGGGAAATTCTCCACCACTTGGTGACAGTGGGAGAAGGAGGCATTTCCCCTGGACACTCTGGTCTTGCTTGGTTTCTGTGCTGTGCTCCTGCGTTTCCCCCCTGGTTTCAGCCCTTTTGTCTTCACCAGAAGTGATTAGTGAGCCTTTGGAGCATCCTTTGAAGGAGCAGATTCTCTTCCACTGCTTTTAAATTTTCACCAGGATCACCCCATCCTTGGTGACCAAGGTTGAGTGTGCAGCCTGTTTCTCTCTGAAAACAGTATGATTGTTTAAATTGCCTGTTTCCACCTCTGTAAGCAGCTGTTCTGTGCTCTCCTCTCTCCCCTCACCCAGGAAGGTGTGACTGATTTCAAAGCCCTCCGAGCAAAATTTCAGAATGACTCCAACTTGGCCACCAAGCTGGGGCAGAAACCTCCCACGGAGAGGGCCCCCAAGCCTGGCTCTGCAGGGAACACCACCTCCAGCCACCTGCCCCTGACTAAGAGAGAGGTGAAAGTGTCCAAGGCTGCCCATCCCACCTCCCAGCCCCCTGTGCTCGCCCAGCACGACCCCTTGGCCCGGCCTCGGGGTTACAGGGAGCGGAAGGGGCACAGCAAAGAGCACGAGGGCAGCACCTTGGGGAAAGGGCTGAGTCCTCCCAAGAGCAGCTCAGAAAAGCCTCTGCTGTCCTGTGGCACTGAGCAGCAAGGATCAAGCCAAACAACTCCAGAGGACCCTCAGCTCCCGGATTCTTTCCAGCACGTCCTACAGATCTGGGAAGAGACTTTATCCCGCAAGGAGAAAACCAGCCCAAGAGTCCCAACCCAGCGGGCAGCAAACTCAGCTCCTGCATCAGGCAGTGATGGGATGCCAGGCTCTGGGAGCTCCCCTGTGCTGGCCTGGCGTGCCCAGAGGAAGGATGCTGTGCATTGCAGTGGGATAGCTCTTCCTCGGGCTGCCAGAGGACACAGCAGCTCTGATGGAGCAGGTGCTGAGGGTGTGGTGGCATCTGCGTGCTGCCAGCCGGGTTATCGCGCACCAAGAGAGCCACCTCAGCTCCAGAAAGGTATGGTGAGGGGTGTTCTTAACACTGAATATGTAAATATAGCAGTATATAGGTGATCTGGAAGTGCAGGATACAGCAGCAGGAGAGAAAAGCTGCTGAGGGTTGGGACCCTCAAGCAAGAGGCCAAACTGGCCCATTGGAATGCTCTGCTCTTGCCCTGGAGGTCCTGGAGGCAAGAAATGGGTCTCAAACTGCTGCTTCACTTGAGTAAGGGGAGCATTCCCCATATCCAACAAATTATTTAAAAGATTTGCTCTAAGAAATTGTCCAGGTTTTGAGAGTAGAATGGAAACTGAGGACAGGAGACTATCTTAGTTTTGGTGTGCTTTGGCTGTTTGCAAATGGGACTTCACACTGATGTGAAAGGCTTGGCTGGTCTGCAAAGACAGTTTAATTCCAATTAAAAGAGCTTAAACCTGAATTCCTCCCCTCCCTTGCACTCTCCCAGCTTTGCAAAAGGTCATATTTAAGATCTGAGAAGATATTTCTTAGAGAAACTGGTGCTGAGAAACTCAGAGGCTGTGCAGCTCCTCTTGCTGACGTGACTGGGTGATGGGGCACTGAAAACCTTTGTTTTCAGTGTTGTAAAGTCTCTTAAAAAAAGACTGAATTCTTTGTTTACCATGGAAAGCCTCCTCACCTGGACTGAGCACTGCAAACAGCCACGGCCCTAAATCCTGGCAGATTAAACTGTTACCAGCACAGAAAATTGGGCTGGTATTTTATAATCCAGAGGAATGGAGCTGTCGAGAGCTGAGACCCAAACACAGTTCACGTGGTAAAAATCAGTGAAAATGGACATTTTCATTTCCCTTTGTTCTGCTGTTCTGGTAGCGAGGTGAGAGACCCGCTGTGTGATGGGGACACTGAAACTGGGAGGAGGCAGAGCTGGTTAGAAATGTCAATATAACAACTAATTATCCTACCTGGATTCTTGCTTAAATCAGGGCTAATTGCTGCCTGTCCTTGTGCTTCTCTGGAGCAGAATCAGAACCTCCCTTCTGCCAGCCTGGAGCAGGAAAATGGTCTTACAGCCCTGGGAGCAAGTGGCCAAGGATTAAACCTCTCCCCTCAGCTGAATCCCTGGGTCCTGCCCCTGGGAAGCCTCCAAGACCCCCAAAGGTTGATCTCAGTGCTTTCCAAAGCACAGTGCCTTTGGTCCACAGAGGAAATGAAACAAGTAAGAGATATTTAGTCTTTTTCCCCCAGATCTGTTCTACAGAAAATGAATTAAAGTGTGCGGTTTATTGACATCTGTAAGGCTGCGATTTCCAGCACGCAGAAATCATTGTTACTTGTTTATAACTTCTTCCTCAGACATTAATAGGAGCCCAGCAGTTTCAGTGGGGCCAATTTTTGCTCTTAATCTGGGAAAGGGATCTGGTTTTCCAGGCTGGACTCCATCCCATGCTCAGAAACCCGCTTCCCTCCCAACTGCAGCGTGCTGAGAGCAGTTTACAGCTGGCTGTAAAGCAGCAGCAGCTGCCTGTGAGCTGAGCTGGTCTTTATCACTCCTCTTCAATGGGAAATGCCTCGGCTCTGGAGCACACAACTGTGGGAAGGCACAATAAAACTGTTAGAAAATAGTCTGCTAATCCCCCCCCAACCTCTGCTTTAAATACAACAGAGGGCAACGTCGTTAAGTGTTCCGACATCAAGAAATGCAAAAGTTCAGATTCCCATAATAAAACCCTCTTGATGTTGCATAATAGAATATTCTGGACCACTTATTAAGCTGCTAAGTGGTGTTTCTTTATAGATACAGCCTTAATTATAGCCAGATCTTTAGGCACAACTTTTGATGAATTCAAAGGGAGCTGCTTTTGTAAGAAGGGCTCTGCTAAAGTCTCTTTTTGGCTTTACAGTGCCAGTGCATATTGGTGTGCCCTGGCTTTGATAAGAATGAGAAGGAAAGAGAGTTTTTCACTGAAACTCTTTTCTAGCCTGCTTGCCTTTTCTAAATATATTAATCTGATGGGAGGAACTAGCTACATTTAAATGCCATCCTCTCCATGCCCTCCCAATATTATCTGCCTCTAGAAAGCCTGAGGTTGTTGTCTGGAAATGTGAAATAATAATGACATTGAGGGGGCCACGAGGAAGGGCTGTCCCTGTCACACCTCCCCTGTGCTCTGTGGGACATGGGCTTGCCTTCCAACACTAATCCTGTGTGTATTTGTGTGCAGCTGCTGGAGAGGAGGATTACGTGACCCCTGAAAGGTGAGCCTGGGGAGAGGCAAGGTGTGGCTCACAGGTGATGGGAACATCCCCTTTCCCTGTTCTGGAGGGAATGTCCCACTCCTGGGGGCAGCAGCTTGCTCCAGGGGGTGTTCAAGGAAGTGGAACTGTACAAGGCCAGGTTGGATGGGATCCTGAGCAACCTGGTGGGAGAGGGAGGGTTTGGAACTGGCTCATCTTTAAGGCTCCTTCCAACCCAGCCCATTCTAGGGCTCTGTGACTGTGTGAGCCTACATGGCAAGCTCAAAGCTGGCTGGGGTGACCCTCTCCTAATGGAGAAAGCTTCACCCCTCTTTTCTCTTGTGGGCTCCTAAAGCCTCATGGAGAACCATTTCCACGTGTCTTTGGGTCTGGTTTAGCTGCCATTGCTTTCGTTGCACGGTCATCACCCCCCATGTGGTTTTTTTTCTTCCTGTTTGCTGTGTACTCAAGTTTTGTGTTTTTAGAAAAGAAATGTTTTTGAAAACTGTTGCTGAAACAAAGCCCTGGCATAACCAGCAGGTGTTGGGGGTTTCTTTGCCAGCAGCAAAGGAATTTGTATTCCTGCACGATTCTGTGATCCTGTGTTTGTGCAGCCAGCACAACCAGGGCACAGGAGCCACTGGCTTCACTTACCATCCCATGCTGAAGTGAGCTTTTTATCCAGTGGTGGCCCAAAATCACTTGAGTTTGTCTGAAACAGCTCAAAAAGCTTGCAGACACAATTCTTTTGTATGCAGGGAGATCCTGGCTTTTTCTGGTCTCTGACTTGTCATGAGTGGCTGTGCAGCAGCCTGGCTTTTGTACAAGAGCAGCTAAAGTGGAGGAAAATATTCATACACATGTTTTGTTGTAGTTGTGAAAAGGGGAAATGGAACAGCTGAACTAAAGCAAAGAGAGGGGAATTCTTAAAATACTTTCTGTGCCCAAACAACTCCTCCAGTTATTGACAGCAAATTGTTCTTGACATCATGGGGCACTCCTGGCAGCGTGGGCTGGTGTTAACTTTTAACCTGTACTTGTCAGAAGAGAGCTGGTCGAAAAATGACCTCCTCCAAGGCTGTTCTGCACTGCAAGAAGCTGTTCTAGCAATGTCATGCAGCAGGATTAGCTGTCTCACCCCAACACTTGCGATATGGTCTTTACAGTAGGTCACTTGTTAAATATTAACTGTGTGATAACGGGGGAAATTAATTAAAGAACTCTGGCATAAAAGCAAAATAACAGCAGCTTGGGGACAGGAATTCCCCTCCTGGGAGCCTCACCTGGAATGAAGTCTGGTCTCTTAGAGACCCTGAGACAGTTTTTTGTGCTGGCTGTTGTTGAGCCGTGGTTGCTTGTGAGGATAAACACGCAGTGCTGGGGGGATGGAGGGGACATCAGGGGGCTGGGACAGCCCCTGCTATCAGCTCAGCCTTCTGCTTCCCTTTAGGGGTTATTCCTTTCTCTGATCTCTTTACTTTTGTGTTCCTCGTGTTCTGGTTTGCACTTAGTCCTTTCTCTGTTGAAGCTGAGCTGTGACAGCGGGGTGATTCCAGGGGAAACTCGCCCTCCCTGAGGGTTTTTACAGACTTGCAGTTAGAAGTTCCTGCTAGAATTCTTCCTGGTGCTCTTTCCCCACCTTCCCCTGTCCCCCACGGGTGTTACAAGCCGTGTCTTGTGCGTTTGATGCTTCCTGGCGCGTTCCTAAAATGCCAAAAACCCCCAGCACTGTGGGCGGAGGGGAAGGCTGGTGGATTCTCCAGGAACGCTGGGTTTTCCCCCTGCACCTACCCCCAGATGACACAAATGTGAATTTCTGGAGGAGGGAAGGAAAGAGGAGAAAGGGGAGATGGGCCCTGGGCTGGGGAGGTCAGAGCTGGAGGTGCTTTCCCTCCTCCTGCGGCTGGCACGTGCTGCTCGTGGCGTTGGCATGGAATGGGTGGCTGGAGAAGCTCAGGACCTTTAAACATCCCCTCTGCTACCTCTGCCTTCCCTTTTGCTCCCTTCCACCAGAAGCCACGTGCCAAACAGTGCAGCTGGGAATTGTTATCAATTTCAAAGCACCAGAGTAGAGTGATCACTTTGGAAAATGCTGCTCTCCGATTTCCTTATGGGGTTTGTTTTTTGTTTTGGTTTTTTTTATTATTATTATTTTTTGTTCTGTTTCTACTTGAGGGATTGCTGTAGGCAGGAGACTCTAACCCTGGTGGGAAATCTGATGTGTTTGAGCCCTCTAAATGCAGCCTGGCCTCCCAAAGGACAAGCAGTGGGAGCGTGGATTTGGGGGGAAGGTTCAGCTGAGCCCTGCATCTGCCAAAGGTCTCCTCTTCCTCCGAGGAATTCCTGATTGCACTTTGCTTTTTTTTTTTTGTAGGCCTCACTATCAAAGCCCTTGATTTCCTTGTCCTTAAGATGAATATTTTTTTTTCATAGCACTAAAAGGGACAGGAAAAAAAAATAAAAATCTTTTCTCTCTTTTTTCATCTTCTCAGTGCTCAGCTTGAAGAGCAGAATAATTATGAAGAAACCCCGATGTACCTGAATCAGTCTGGGGACACCACAACCTTGTGTGTCATTGAAGGTACTTTGAAAGGCAGGACTGTGAGGTGAATTATGTGCTAGCTGGGAAAATGAGCCTTTAAAATAGGAAATAATACAGTTTCTTGTTGAGAATAGTTGAGAAGAGCAGCTGCACAGTGGTCTAGGAGAACAAGGATCACTGTCCTGTCCCTCTGTGCAGTGTGAGGACTCTGGGGCAATGACAAAAAAAGCTAAAATTTTGGGGATAACATGATGCTTATAGTAAAACTCAGTGGGGAATATCATAAGACATTGCCCATGCAGAGGAGAATAAAAAGAAGATAGTGAGGCAAACCTCAGCATCTCCTTGGGAGCAGAAAGGCACAGACTACAAGACTTTTCCAGGCCCATCAATATTTTTTCCCAGTATAATTATCTCTACCAAAGATGCCACTGCCCCGCTTTTGGGGAGGATATTTCTGCCACATGCACTGATTTTGTCTCCCAGTGGGAAAGGAACCCTTGGGGGGGACTGCCTCAGCCCCCTGGGATTTCATAGAGCTCTGAAAATTGTGGCCAGTGAGGCTTGGAGCTGCAGCCCCCTGCATGTGAACCAATGCTCAAGGAGCAGAGGGAAGGAGCTGCAGGACATGCTGAATGTCCATGCTGAATGTGTGCCTGCATGCTGAGCATCCCAGCTGAAGCTGAGTTTTGCACCTACAAGTGCAGTGACTTTAACATGGACTAAATATTAATATCTGTTCATAAATATCTTTCCTAGTACCCAAGGCAGAGCCTCAAAAACATGGGGTAAGTGTCTTGAAAACTTCTAATATCTTTGTTTCTTACCTGCCAAGAATTTCTCTGTGTGTTGTCTGTGAAGACTCTCAAAAATTAAATAAGAAATTGCAGAGGGGACACAAAGACTGATGAGACCCCCAAACATCCCAGTGGGAAGAGTCAGTAGCCTTGACTTCCACTGCAGAAATGTGAGGAAGTGATAACACCAGCTAGATAAATGTTGGTGGTAGACCAAGTGTTAAGCAGCAATATCAAGAACGTGAATTTTTTGGAGAAAAAAAAAAAATCCACTGAAATGTTCTGGAATTTCCTGCCAAGGGTGAGCTGGTGCTGGTAATCCCTCTGTGAGGATGTGAAAGCAAAATTGAGCCAGGCTGCTTGGCTTGGCAGCACACTTGGAGTTCATAAGTAAGGACAAGTGTGGTGGGCACAGCTGTAGGGGCTTTCATCCCCTGCTGCAGGGATATCTCTGCTGACTTTTCTCACCTCCCCCTGGCTGCAGAGGGTGGCAGGGGGCACATCCTGCAGGGAAGGCAGGATCCTGCGGGGCACAGGGCAGGAATTGCTGTCCCCAGGGAAGCCCTGCTTGGCTGAGCTCAGCTGAGGGCACACAGAACCTCGTGCCAGGAGATGTCCATGTCCTGGCTATCAATTCTGGCACTGCTGAAACAGGGGGAAATACCCCTTGTGAAATGTCAGACTCCACTGTCAAGTCTTGTCTTGCAAAGCCATCAAACTGCCTCGGAAATATCACAGCTCTCTACCTCTGTGTGATTTGCAGAGAGGTTCTCTGGCTTGGCTGGAGTCTCATTTTATGGCGGGCTGGGAAATCTTTATTTAAATTTAAAAAACCTCCTCCTCCTCCTCTGCAAGCTCTCCTTTCTGTAATAGCTTCCATGCTGACCAGTGGCTTCATTGGTCCAACCCTAGCACTGTTTTATTATCCCTGTATAATTTGTCAGTGTGTGTATTCCCTGTCCTGCAAAGTAGATGAAATATCCTTGTCTGATGACTATTCCAAACATAAAATACTTCTGGGCTTTCTAAAGAAATATTTCTTTAAATGCTGGTTGACAGCTGAGGCCTTGTATGAAAGCTTGACTGCTGAGAAAAGCACAGTGGCTGAAGGTTTTCCTCTTCTTTATTCTAGAAACAGAAGATTTTTCTGTTTGCCAAATCCAGGTAATTTCCTTTCCTCTCTCTCAAACTTCTTCTAGCCCCACAACTGATTTGGGTTAGGAATTAAATATTGTAGCACTCAGTAAATAGAAATAAATTTCATATATTTCATGACCAAGACAGTGTAGATGATGTTTTTCTGTGCCAGCACTCATGGTTTCTAAGATTGTTTTCATTCTAAAGCATATCTGGAGGGGAGATTGTGAATCTGTCTATTCCTACTGAAACCTGAACAGTGTAAAGGGGGAGGGTTATGAGGCTCTCAAACTGGGGCACCTGGTTCTAAGTCTAAGGAAAGGTCCACTCTGAATTTTACCCTACAAATGTCACACTTTGAGCTCCTTGTGGTGTGTATTTATGGTCACTGTCCAAAGGCTGTTTTTTTTGGTGGTGATAGAAGAGTTATGTGATAAAAAGGGGTCACTTTCCTGGGAAATGTTGTGATGTTGGGAAATAAAGATAACAAGTCCTTCATCCTGTTGCTGTTTCTTCTTCCCTAAATCTCAGTACAGTGTGGTGAGAGGCACATTGTGTGATCCAGGTGCCACCACAAATGGATCTATTTTGTCCTTCCCTGCTGTGAGGAAACAATCATATTAATTAGTCTCTCTCCCAAGAATGATTTGCAGTATCCTTGAGTGATCACTGGCCCTTGGGTTTAGATTTGCCCTTACTTTGCTGGTGGTCATTTGGGCATCTCCCTCATTCAGAGGGAAAATGAGCTATTTATTTGGGCACTGTCATAAGGCAATGTGTTTGTGACTTTGCTGAAGTGTCTGCGTGCTGAGATCTCTCTCATTTCTGAACACTTCAGCCCAGAAAGAGCTCTAATAGAGGACAAAAAAGAGGGAAAACCAAGTCATGAAAGAATGAAACTGGAAGAGAACAACATTTTCAAGGTATTGTATCCTTGAGGTTAATTTTAATAATTATTATAGGATGTCTCTTCTCCTTCTGCCCTCCCTCCCTTTGGGAAACTGTTGAAACTCAAGCCCTTAATCCCAGGGGGTTTCCACCTTCTATTTTGCTTGTTGATCACTCAACTGCTTCAGCCTGAAAGGTTGATGGAGAAGGGTGAGAAACTGCTTTAAGTCCACAGATAATTCATATTCTTATGGATGCATAGATGTGTAATGCAAATACATATTAGAATATATTTGTTTCTAAGGACTGCAGTGACCACACCAAGCGTTTGATCCCAGACAGGTGGAGGTGAGTACATGACTCCCAGATGCCATGCCAAGGCAGATGGCAGAGGTGGGCTGAAGGTTCTCCAGGGGAAGCAGGATGTGACCAGTCCCCAAATTGCAACGTATCCAATCCCACCAGGGCTGGCAAAAGGCAGAGCAGAGCACTGTGAGTATCTCATTGCACCACTGAGTGTTTCCTCAGTCCCCAGCCCCATCTGCTGCCCAAATGTCTCTTCCATATGGGAAATAACGTTAAATTTGGATGCAACTCTTGAACCAATTTAGTTAAACCGGGGCAAAAGGTTGCAGGAGCGTTTGTATTCTGGTCTGAATCATTTATTTTGGCTGTGCAAATAGCTTCCTAAGTTGGTTAACCATCTGCGTAACTCGGGCCGAGGTGTTTGTTTTCCTAGCAGATTGCCCTTATCCATGGGAGCTGAAATCCATCTCCTCTGCTCCTTGTAATTTATGGAGTCTCAGGAAAGGGGCTGGCTAGGGCTTGGGGTAGAAATACGTGTGAGCAGCACGAGAGCCTGAAGTGTCCCTGTGTCCCTCACTGAGATGGATGATGGCTCCTTGCTCCACCTCCTCGTGGTGCCAGGCTGACTTTGGGCTCCTCCTGTCAGGGGACCCCAAGGCAGTGACCAGAGCTGCTGCTGGGCACCTCAGCTGCACAAATAAACCAAATCACATCCCCTCTGTGAGCACAGGTTTGCAACTCCAGCCGGAAATGCTCATGGGTCGCATCCGGCAAGGGCTCTGCAAGCCACTGCTGTGATAGGGCAGCATTTCAAAGATGAGAGAGAGAAAAGTGCCTCTGTTGGGCTCTGTGGACAGACCCAGGGGTGTGAGGGAGAAAGTGTAAATTGACTGTGACTGTGGTTATTTTTATTGGTGTGGTTCTCAGGTATTTCTCTTTTTTTTTTTATTATTATTATTATTATTTTAAATCACCTCATAATAATTTTCTGGTTTGGTTGGTGTCTGTTTCTGTAAAAGATCTTGCTGGTTTGCTTGACCTTTGAACAGCTGGAGGTAATTTCTGCTGGGATTTTTTTCTTTTTTTTTTTTCCAAAGTACTCCAGGTGGGCCTCCTGCTTCAACAGAGGCTGATTTGGAGAATTGTTTGGTCCACCCATACCTGCTTTTCTAATTCGCTGAATTTGGATGTTCTGCAGGAGTTTTGGTCTGTAGCTGGACCATATTGAGGTGGTGCCTATTTCCAGCAAGATCTGCTGCATGAATCAGAATGGTTTGGGTTGGAGGAACCTAAAAGATCCTCTCATTCCTCACCCTGCCATGGGCAGGGACACCTTCCACTAGCTCAGGTTGCTCCAAGCCCTGCCCAACCTGGCTTTGCACATTCCCCTTGTTCATTTACAAGCACTATCTGCTTTTACTTGTGTGGCTGTGTTTCTGCCTTGCTCCAACTCTCTTAAATCCATCTTAAGGTTTTAACATTGCCACTTAAGAGTTCTCCATTAATAATCTGTTTCTAACCTTGTGAGGTCCAACTGCCAGGCTTGATTCCAGCCCTCAGTGAAATCCATCTCAGAGGTGCTCATCCTCCTTGGGTCCTTTCCAAGATGTTGATTTACAGGTGTATTCCAACAGACTGGTTCATTATTTGGATCTTAACATTTCCACCAACCATGCCAAGCTTTCTCTGCAATCACTTCTGTGGAGATCCAGGAATAATCTCTTGGATGCTCTTAGGTGAGGAAGATTTGGGTCAGAGCTGCCACAACTGAAAAATTCTACAGACATTTTAAGTTTTCTAAACATAAAACATTTTTATGACATTTAAAAGTTTTAAAGATGAAAACTTTGAAAATCGTTCACTTTCGTTTCTTGAAGTGTCTCAGAGCAGAGCATTTCCTGGACTCCTGGAATGGAAAATAAATCTGTAGGCTCTTATTTGATGTGTTACTCTCAACAGTTGTCCCTTCTCTGAGAGAAGTTCCTCAGAAAAGCCCCCAAAGCAAAGGTCCTTCCTCATTTCCAGGGCACAGCGTGGCTCTTGGTGCTCCAAAGCCAGAAGGACCAGCCTTGGACCAAAACCCTTGGCAGCCTCTGCAGGCACCAGAGGACATCTATGATGACATTGAGGAGCTGCAGGACAGACTGTGAGTGTGGACCTGGGCTCTTGCAGTGCCTGTGTCTATGAAATGTCCTTTCAAATCTCTCCTGCAGCAAACCCCCATGTCACACTTGTGTCTTCCAGCAGCCACGGCTCAGATGCCTCAAGTTCCTTCACTTCAGACAGCAGTAAGTAAGGAAGCTCAAACAGAAGCTGCTTTTAATTTGGGCTGGTCCCTGGGAGATGCTGGGAATGGTTTAGCTTCACTTTCAGCATCCACAGTGTCTCCTCCTGGCTGGGCTGCTCTGAAAGCCCATTAGAACCCGTGGGGGGTAGTGTACATATCTGGCATGGAATTCATTTGAGCAGCCCTGAAGCCTCTGTAAGAGTGAAATGTGAAAGGTCTGGGTGCAATTTGTCCAGCAAACCTCACCTTATTGCTACTGAACAGGACTTGTCTTAATGGCTTGCCTCGGTTTTAAGTTTCAGGAAACAGCTACGAGGAAACATATGAAGATGTTGAGATTGGGGGTGATAACCCAGCAAAACCAGAGTAAGTTGCAACTTCTGTAGCCTGCATGTTGAAATTCTGGCCATTCAGCCTTGCTCTCACATGCCAGGTACTGGCTGGAAGCCTCTTTTTTTTCTCCTGACTCAACTGCAGAAAAGTTGTGTGGGTGGGTTTCTTCCCTTCTTCCTCCCTCTTTCCCCTTTGGCTAACACTTAGGGAGCAAAAAGTCATTACCAAAATTAAATCCCAAAGCAGTGTGGGGGATTTTTATTTCCTGTAACACTCTCCATCCTTTGGAAGTACTGCCCTCCCAGACCTCCTCCTGCACCAGGCACCCAGGACAGTCTCACTTGCCTTCTCTTGATTAGAAGTGTTGCTCAGCTGTAGCTGAGAATTGGCACCTTATTTGTGTGGTGGTGCTCAAGGGACAAATTGTCCCCATAAAACAGGACAAAATGCTCACATTTGAGATCACAGAAGGCTGGAGAAGAACCTGATGTGCTGTAACTAACTTACAACCTGCTCTTTTTTTATGTAGCCTCTCAAGATACTTGCTTCCACGGGGCGTGCTATAAAACCAATGAGTTTTGCAGCCTCGGGTTTATGCGTTGCCTGAGCTTCCCAAACGCATTAAGAGGTGTAATGTGAAGTTTAGTTGTGTTTTCTGTGGCTCCCTACCCTCATGCAGTAAAAAGTTGCCTTTGTAAGGAACTGAGACAGCCTTTGGGAGAGGCATGTGTGGCACAGAATTGCTTGGAGTGCATCTGGTGGCTCTCTCCTGAGGAGCAGCGTGGGAGGAATAATAAGGTGTTGCTGCACATCTGCTTTTCCCTTACGGATGGCCTGCATCTGGATCCCAGTCCAGCTTCCACGTGGGTGTAGAGCCTGTGTGTGACAGAGAGGGAGGGAAAAGGGGAAAGCTGAACCCCTGGAGGTGACAGGATGGTTATTAAAAGAAGGAAGTGTCATTTCTCTGCAAATTGAGTTGTGTGGTGGGGAGTGCACCAGCTTCTCCATCCAGAGGGAAGCGTGTTCCCAGATGGATCTTGCACATCCCTGGCCCCTGGGAAGCACATCAGTGCACATGGGTGCAGAAATTAAACCCTCTTGCTGATTCACAAAGGGAGCAGTGCATCTTGCTGGGGCTGCAAAGGAATTCCAAGACCATTTGGGACCAAATTCACAGGTTTCAGAGGTCAGGCTCTTAATCCCCAGACCAGCCTTTCTGTGATCTCTCTATTGATCCCACGTGCAGGATTAAGTGTGCTGAGACACATAAAGGGTTTTTAATGGTCCTTGTGCAGGGGTAATGACCCCCAGGGGAGGATCTTGGTTGCTTGCAGATCCTTTACAAGAAAATTGCTGTGTAGGTTTGCAGCCCTCTGTAAACTCCAGAGAGGAGTGTGTGCCATGGAGCATCCTCCTCAAGGACACACACAGTAGAAATGTGTGATGGAGGGTGGCTCAGAACGTGCCCCTGATGTCTCCTTTAATGGTCACTGCAATGCTTCTGGGTAATGCTGCCCTTTCCCCAGGAATTTTCACTCCAAGGAAACCTGGATCACCCTCTAGTTGTTGGGTCAGAGGAGAACAACTTCAATTAACACAGAAAAGCTTAAAGCTAAGCAAAAATATCATCTTGGACTTAATAATTAAGCACCTTTTGCTGTGCTGGTGCTTATCCCAGCGAGTTTGACATCCATATGATGCTGTTAACACTTAAATTCTCCTTCTGAGTTGAGGTCCAGGGTCTGCTGCCCTTCCCTTCCCTGCCTTATTATCTCTGGGGCTGCTTCTGCACCTCGTGCCTCTTTTAATCTAAAACCTGTTTCTCTTTTGGACAGAACAGAAAAACAAAAGAGATTTGGAAACCTGTTTAAGATAGAAAAGTTGAAGCTGAACCATTTCAGGCTCAAGGACAGCCTAAGGTAGGAAAATGTTGTTGGTCCCACCCTTTCCCCCTTCAAACCTGAGCATTCCTCCTGGCAGTTATTTGAGAGCAGGAGGTCTAGGGGTAAGAAATAAAGCTTTTTTTGGGAAACTTAGGCCAAAAGAGCTTCTATCAACTCACTAGGAGCTACTATGTCAGATGTGGCCAATGCTCCATCTGTGCAGCTTCTCCAGAATCTCTGGCATCAGGAATCTCCAGGAACTGGTCCTACAGCTGTTTCCAGGTTTTCATAGATTTTCTGCTGCCTTTGGTACCTTTCTGATACCTCAGCATGACACAAGGTGCGCAAGGGAATGCAGAAAGGTGCTACCTGCTGCCTTGACCTGTGAGCCAGGATTAGGGACAGCCTTGCTGATGTGGGGTTTTATTCCAAGCCCCATTCAGAGCCAAGCTGGCAAGAGCATCTGCTGAAGAAGTCTAACAGTGAGTTTTCATTCTAACAGGATAGAGAGGATTGCATAACTTCCTGCAGTGCCTTTTTGGGTACTCTAATATCCAAAACTGTCAATAAGTTTCCAGGGAAATTGCCTTTTCCTCAAGAGTGCAGAACCTGCAGAACCTGTCCTCCACTGCTGCCAGCAAGTGCCTCACCCTGTGCACTGTGCCTGAATTCCAGGAAAACACCCCCTTCTCTTATTTGTTTGGAAATTCCAGGTTAAACCTTCCCTCTTTCCTCTTTCATGTCAGGGAGCTTTGTTTTCCTTACAAATCTTTTCACACAAGGTGCCCTGCAGTGGCTCCTTCAAATACAAATATCATTATAGGGAAAGACTTGCCAGGTTTTGTGCCATTCTCTTGTCTCGAAGAACCCTTAAAGCTCCTGAAACCACCTTCAGTATCTACAGACATTGTCAATTTTGAATTCCTGGACACCCCCTGGTGTTGGCAGACTTACAGGAAGGAATTACTACTGACTAAAAATTCCAACTATCCAGCACCCCACTTGCTGTTGAGAGGGGCAGCAGGAGTTTGGGCTGTTCTTTGGATGCAGGGTAGATCTTTCCTGCTTGATGAACACTTGGCTCTTGTTGCTGTCAGGAAATGCTTATTTAGCAAGGGATTTCATTTTGGGAAATGCTGTTGGTACCGTGGAGTCCATGCACCCCAACTTGTCTCTGTCACTTCAGCAGCATCACAGGCAGCTTTTTGGGGCTCCTCATGGCTTTTGGGGCATTGCTGATGTGCAGATTTGTTTCTAAAAGCCTTTTTTTCTATCCACAGACTGGTTTCCATTTCAGTACCAAATTTAGGTAAGCACCCCCCTGTAGCTGGCTCCTGGGGATTTGTGTGTGTTTGAAGAGGCAAATGCTTTGTACAATCAGCTTGGTGCACTGTGCCTTTCTGAAAATCATGTATTTGGTAGCAGTAGCTTTGAAGGTCTGATAGAAATTTGTGTTCCATTTGGGAGGGGGGTGGTGTTTGCTCATTTTTGGGTGGTTTTACTTTATAGAAGAGCATTCCTCCTGCAGATCTGGATATATCCAGGAAGGTAATGTGTGAAACAGTCCATGCAGAGCCACTGCTCCTAGGCTGGCAGTGCTGTGTGAGCCCATGGCACTCTAGCAAAACTTTATTTTTGTAAAACTCTTTATTCCTGATTGTTGGAGGGTCAAAAAATGGGGTGGATACAGCCTCAACCTTGAGGAGGTGCAGGAGTGAACACAGCCAAATCCTTGTGCTGGGAACCCTGCCTGGGCTGGCTGCAGAGCAAAGCTGGGGCTTTGCTGCTGCTCCTGCTCCATCCTCGGAGCTGGATGGCCAAACCCATGCAGAGAGCTGCCCAAAACCACAGCTAACCAACCCCAGCATCATTCACTGTGCTGGACCTTTGCTGGGTGTTTGGCAGCTCCGAGGCTCCTCTTGCATTTCCTCGGCCCCTTTGGGCTGAGTGACGAGCAGCAGCCCAGTTTTTCCTCTGCAATAGATTACTTGGGGTACCAGGCTCAGAGTGACATCTCCTGCTCATTTTCTGTCCTGCACTTGGATTGACAGCAGCTGCCTCCCAGGAGGAAAACGTGTACGATGATGTCGAGGTGGGGCAGGCAGAGACCAGGTGAGGAGCGTGCACTGTCCTGGGGTTGGGATTTTCCTCCTGGCACAAACCCATGCCTGGTGCTGAAAGCCACTGAGGGGCATGAGCTGGTTGGGATTCAGCCCTCTGGAGGCAGTCCAGGTGCCCTCCCTGTGTGTGTTGAATTTGGCAGGATATTTCCTCGCCGTTACCCGGTTAGCGCCAGCGATGCGAAAAGGAGAGAGCAGCTCCCTGAAACACGTGAAAAATCAGATCTTTTTCCTAAGGAAGGAAAACTCCATCTCCCAGACACGATTATCAGCCCCATCCTGGCAGGCTCCTTGTCAGAAAAATTACTTTTAATAGGAACAGCATGTCCTGGTGTCTTGCTGCCAGATGACTGCGGTGGCTGCGCGTGCTGGTGTAAATCACAGCAAGTGTTTGCATTTCAGGGCAGGGCGTGGGGGGAGACGGAGAAAAATCACGGCTCTGGGGAGGGGACACAATCTGCTGGGAAAAACCTGAATTCCTGCCTGTCTGTTCCTCTCAGAGGGAAGGATGAGAAGTACAAAGTCCGCATGCCAAAGCTTCGGGTGATGAGAGAGTACAAGGACAAAAGGAAAAGCGTCGACAGCGTGGAAAGGTCCTGATTTCCATCCTGTGTTCCCGTTTTGTCTGACTTTTGTACATGTCTCTTGAGTGGCTTCAGGATGTCCCTGATTGCACAGACATTTTGTGTTGGTTGGTAGTCCAGGGTCCTTTCCCTTTGAAGCCAGAGTTCAGGAATCTCTGCAGAAAATATCCCAAGGGTGAAACAAGCTCTTGGGTCTGAACTGAGGAGCAAGGGGGGGATACCCAGAGGTCTCATCCTGAAGTCTTGTCCTGACTTTCCACTGAGCTGAGACAAAAAGTTGTTATTTGCTGTATATTTGTCTCCTTTTTACTATCTTAGTAGGTTTAGATTAGATTTTAGGAAGGAATTATTCCCTGTGAGGGTGGGCAGGTCCTGGCACAGGGTGCCCAGAGAAGCTGTGGCTGTCCCTGGATCCCTGGAAGTGCCCAAGGCCAGGCTGGACAGGGCTTGGAACAGCCTGGGATAGTGGGAGGTGCCCCTGCCCATGCCAAGGGGGTGAAACCATTCCATGATTTTGGCAAGGGCCTTGTATTTTAGAATATTGATTATTTGGGCTGATTGCATGGATTTTTTCTGTGCCATTTCTGCATAAAAGCAAATTTTTATTTTTATTTTTTTGTTACTGGTGCTGCAAAAATTCACATGAAAGTGGGAGATTTCCTTTCCCTATTAAATCACAAAAACGTGCATCACAACAACCCTTTTCATGACCTACTACCTGGGATTTTGAATGTAAATCAGAGACCCATTTTTCAGGTACTCACCACAGAGCTCCTGTAAGGGGCTGCTCTAACACCACTGGTTGTGCTGTGCAAAGGCACAGGTATAACTTTACAGACCATGGGAGAGTCCATGCAATTTCAACTTTCCCTTAGAGACCACAAGTCCTGCCCAAGGAGGAATCTCTTCACTGCTTTAAAGTCCCTAATTTCAGCTCTTGTTTCCTTTCCTCTTTAAGTGCATCAAAATGAGCCAAGGATGAATAATTTATTACAAGTGGGTGGGGGAGATTTTTGTTTGGTGTTTTTTTTCCTGTCTCAGTTTTGAAATGAATGCTACAGCTGTAATTTCGTGTGTCACAAAGAGTGGCATCCCCCTATGCAGGGAATGCCCCACTCCCTTTAAGTGGGTTGTAAGAACTTGTTTTCCACTTCACAGTGCCATAAAAATGTCTGCTTGTGAGACTTTCTCCTCCATGTGCTAAAAAACCCAAAGAAAATCTGGAGAGCTGTGTCAAACCCCACTTCCATAAATGATTCAGGATGAGAGTTATCTGGGGACCCTTTATTTCTGAGTATAAATAAAACCAGAAGGAGACAAACTGCTGGGGGAAAAGTGAATTGTTGACTTCCATAAAAATGGGGCTGATTTGAAACACTCAATAGAGTTTATTTGTTCCCACGCTGCTTACAGACCAAAAAAATAAAAATAAATTATCCTAAATGGCGATACAAAATGGCTCAAGTTGTGCCTCACTCAGTTTGAGTTGTCTATTCACCCTTTTGTGAGAAATAGGGATGTGAACAGTGTGCTTTGCTTTTCCAAGGGTTCCTTGAAGACAAGGCTGGAATTAGGCTCTGGGTTGCAATTTCAGATGTGCCAGGGGTTATTTAAATGGAGCTCAAAAGTGCATATATGCGTGTGTGTGTGTGTCTTGCTGCAGAAATATCTTCAAATTCAAGAAGAGCAGTGAAGAAAAGGGCAAGAAGATGGACAAAGAAGAGCAACTCTTTAGAGAGACATTCATGGTGCGTTTCTAGCTGTGTTAGGGGAGGAAAGCAGCTCTGTGGCTTGTTTAAAAGACACATCTTGTTGGTCCTCAGCTGTACTGGGAAAGTTGTCCCCTCACCTGTTGCCTTCTCACCTAATCTGGGGTTTCCAGAGGAGAAAAGCAGCTCTGTGGTTTGCTTAAAAGACACCTGGTGGAACCTTCTTGGTCCTCAGCTGTGCTGGGAAAGTTGTCCTGCTGCCTTAGGATTTAGCTTTTAAATTTTTCAAATCCTGTACTGCATTAGTGCATAACTCTGAACTCCATGTAAAGCATTAGTCACTGTCTTCACATTTTGGTCAGACAAAACAATCCCCCTAGGCCTGAGATCCAAGGACACCTCACTGCCTCAGGCCCTGAGAAGTGTAAACAAAAGTGAATCGAGGGGGAGCAAACTGGGGGTAAAAGACTTCCTAACCCTAAGCTGGAATTGGAGCATTAACCCCTGATATCTAAATGCACCAAACTCATAATTGTCTGAAAAACTGGTGAGCATTGTCCATCCTGGGTGTAGCCTCTGGGAGGCTTCTGACTGCCCCATAAATATACATATATTTACATACAATAATATATAGTAAAGTGGCTTTAGGCAGCCACTTCAAGGCAGCAGTCCCACCCAGCTGTTGCCTTCTCCCCTAATCTGGATCTTCACCAGGTGCATTTCTGGGGTTTCTCTCCCTCCCTCTCCCCAAAACCTCACAACCCATCCCCAAATCTCCTCTGTGCCTCCCTCCCCGCTTGTTGGCTTTCAAGCGAGGCAAACACCCCGGTTCAGAGCCAGCACGGTCAGTCAGTGGTCAGTGGCCCCCTTTGGCCACTCGGACCATAACCCACAGCATCAATGTGATGGATGGCGACTATGGTGTTCATTGCAGGGGAATTTAACATTTTATAACCTAGGGTCACCGTGTTACTCCCCTCTGCTTTCGTCACAGCCAGGTGCTATTGGCTAATTGCAGGGGTCGTTACCGTATTACGGAGAGGGGATTTACTAACTTTCCGTAACACCCCGAAGTCTTCCGAACGCCAGGCATTAGACTACGACACCCGCTGCCCTCAGCGAGGTGCAGGATAACCACAGGCCTCTCCCTGTCCCGCAGTACCACGAGGAGATCCGTGTGCTGGCCACGGCGCGCTGACCTCCCGCTCACAGCTGGGGAACAGCTGGATGTCATCGAGGCCGTGCAGGGCCACGCCGTCATCTGCCGCAACGCCCAGGGCAGATGTGAGTGTCTGCAGCCCAGCTCTGGGTGACAAATCACCCCCCAAACCACAGCATGGCCTGCCTTGGCTCGGGTCTCACTCATTCCCTTCCTTCTTCCTCTTCCCTCAGATGGGTACGTTCTGCTGGAGCACTTGAACTTCAGGTAAACTCGGATTTTTATTTATTATGATGCACGTTTTCCTCTCTCTCTCTCCTCCTGTGTGGAGGTAGCTGGAGGAACGTGCTTAAAACTTCTGAAGGCAGGGGGAGTTAATGTAAACAGCCAGTATTAAATATTAAATAAGTATTTCCAGTTTTGCTCTGCCCCTGGACAGGTTTCCAGTCCAACTGCAGCTAAAAAAAGCCCTGTCCAGTCATGATTTGTATAAATTGGAGATTCCTGACTTGCCTTCAGATATGCCGTATTAATCCACATCTGCTGCAAACATGGGCCACTCGGTGTGCCTTGCCTTGCCAAAACACACCCTTAAATTCCCTGCTGCAGCATTTCCTTGCATGCTCATGCATAATTCATAGAAATGAGCCTCCTCTTACCCAGGTGGCCCTTGCTGGGATTTTTTTTTAATTTTTTTTTTTTCCTTTGAGACAGACAGTACTAACTGCCCTGAGAGCTGCTCTCCCCTGGAGCATCCCTGAAGGTCTCTTTTGTGCTTCCTGCCTCCGTGACAGCCCACATTAGTCAGCTCTGGGGTGGTGATGGGAATGTAAATAAAGCTGGGGTTTTTTTACACTGTTCATGTGCAAGAGATGTTTCCTTCTTTCTTTTTCTTTTCTTTTTTTCTTTTTTTTTTCCTGCCATTTAGAGCATGTCTTCACTGATTATTAGTTATTTTCAGTATTTCTCGCTTTTTGGAGTACCTTGCTGGTCAGCTCTGAAATAGCCATAATTATTTCTACATTTTCAGGAAAATAGTAATGATAGTGCAGTTTAGTTGCTCAATCTCACTGCTGTCAGAATTGCAAGTTCCCCCAAAAGATTTGCTCTTTAAAAAGCAAACCATATAAGTTGGAACTGGTTTTGCTCTTAAAAGTATTGGGAGAAGCATCACCACTCCTGCTATGTTAAATATATAAAATAGTGGAAAAGTTGACTCATTTCTTTGCAAAAAAAAAAAAAATTAAAAAAGAGTAAATAAAGCATTCAGTCAAAAATTATTTTTTTAAGCAAACTTAGGCATCCCAGATATGTAAAAGCTGACTCCTGGCTCCCAAGGACTCACAGCAACAGGGAATTACCCAACAGTTGCCCCTGTGTTCAGGCTGGGCTCTCCCCACTGTGGGCCTGGAGGATGATTACTTATTTTCAGAAAAATGCTCCTAAATGTAGGAAGAGAAATATAAATTGCTCATGGCTTCTCCTCCATGTACTCAGTAGATACCTTTTCAAAAGCAAAAAAAACGTGGATAAAGTTTTTACGTGGCTTTGAAAGAAAATAAACCCTTAAATCTGACTGTAGTGTACAGCTTTTACCCCTTCCTGGCACATTTTAGGAACCCATATCAGTTTGCTCATAAATATCCTAAAAATGTAAGATGTTTTAATTAGAAATGATTAAATGTTCCAGGCTTAAGAAAAATAAAAGTGATGTTTGCCACAAGGCCATTTCAAAGCTGGCATAGGAGACATCAGTAAAAAAAAAAAAAAAAAACAGAGCAAATATTTAACATTTACTTTTAAGTCTATACAGGCATTCTTATTTATTTTACCATGTGGTTACTATTAAGTGCATTGGCCTGCATCCATCCTTGCAGCAAAAAAAAAAATAAATAAAGCACTCCCCTGTAAGCATGCGCAGCTTTGCAGCCCTGCCAGCCCAAATATTTGGATTTTTCTGGTGGAGAGGGAGAGATTGGGGAGCTGGAGTCTGTGTTTGGCTCTGGCACAGCCTGGGACGTGCTCTGAGCCCTTCACCTCCATCCCTCTGCAGGGAATCAGCCCCAGGGAAATGCTGGAGATGGTTTCTCCACAGGTTTCTGTTTGTTTTTTTTCCCCATGGTGATGTTTAGGATTAAAACCTTGAAGCAAACACCCCCTTCCTCCGCTCCTTCCTCATCCTCCTCCCTGCCAGCGCTCCTTCACGACACGTGAAGTCTCTCCATCACCCCCTCTGTAAGCACTGTGGGAAAATCCTACTTTAGCCACACGTGCAAGTTCTTTTTTGCCTCCCAAGGAAGTTATTAAATAATCTTTTCTTACTTTAAAGGAAGGTTTCTGTAGGGATCTCCCCTGTGTCCTGTGGCAGACGCGGCCCCGATCCCCGTGTGGTGACGCACGGTCCTGGTGGGGCTGTGCCCCAAATCCCTGTCAAACACAAACTCTGCACTGCCACAGGCAGCTGATTTCATGCAAGGATGCCTTGCAATACCCTCA